GGATTTCTTTGGTTGCATATCCTTTGTTCGCCATTCGCAATGCAGCATCTTTGAGGTCGTCGCTGATCTGTCTATTGCCCATCGTGGAGAAGAGTAATGTGTAACTCACGAGATGCTGGCTGAGGCTGTACGCTGCTGTATGCCACACGCAACAGGTGACCAATTCCGAAAATATATATTTTTACACATTCGAACAGTGTCATTGTTTATGAAAATCGCAATAATACATCACTTGAAATTAAACTTTACAGACCCAACAAATCAACGATATCGTTCGTTCAAACGACCGACTTCCTACGCCGCTCTGTCCTCACTAGCAAAAGCCATCCTTCTTCAAGCCGAAACAGAGGTCACCGCTGAAAAGCGGGTGGGTGCCGTCAGCGATTCCTTCCACGGACTCGGACGGTACTGCATGGAAAGGCGAGGAGCGCACCAAGGCTATGGGATACCGGACGAATGAAGGCCAGAGGGAGAGCTTATCTGAACACGTTATGCGCGTATCAGGGATGATGCGTGTTTATTTCCTGATTCTGGCTGTGCCTGTACCGCAGCCATTGGAAAAGATGTCCCAGTTACCACGTTTCTTGGCGTATTGATCTTGACAAGATCATTACATCTAGTCTTTCTCGTGGTGTCAGTGATGTGCTTTTCTACGGACACATTTCCCCAGGCTTACACACGCTACCTAACAGGTGTGCCATGATCTTGTTCTCCTGCTTGTTTTTGTGCGTCGTCTAATGTTCGCGTGATTGTCACGATCATATCTTTCATATGGAACGCACAATACTGATATTTGACGGTAAGTTCCCTGTCACCAGGATTGACTTTGATGGTTCAATAATGATTTTCCCAGTCTCCAGTCCAATCGACTTCAATCGCTTGGAGTCCTAGCAGGTCTTAGCACCAAAGGCACAGCGTGAGCGCTACACCTGGACTCACATCCTGTAGGTGTTGCTTAAAATTTACGTCAAAATGCGCGTGTTTCAAGAACACGGCCGCGCGCGGCGAACAATCAGACTCAGCTCTGCAGCCTGGAGTCCGTTCGGGGGCACCGAAGGGTTTCGACAATTGTTTCAGATCAATGAGATGGTCGTATGAATCACCAGGACGTAACAGTGGCGGCGTGGCTCCATAACATAGTTGCTACCTCCGAGTCTGACTGCATCATACGATACCATTTATTTGCCAGTACATGCTGCCAATGTGAGACGTCAATGTATAAGATCTAGATTCCCTGGGAACATCGGCAGGTGGAATTAGATGGACATTTGCGTCTGACGCTGTGCGGTGTGCGGTGTCGGGCTGTGAAGTTGGCGTGACGCTTCAAATGCTATGGTGCGCATCACTTAGTGACCACTACTTTTGTACAGCGGCCAAATTGGTTGGTCGAGCGCTGATAACCCTAACCCTAGCAGTAGTGTTGCCGCGGTTCTCGGTTATAGCCGGCTAAAGCTGTAGCCGGAGCTATTGTTAGCCAAGCCTCATAGCTGGTTATAGATATGTAATGTATGGCGCGGCCCGGCTAATGTAGCCGCAGTTATCTGTTTTCAGCCAGCTCAAGCCGACTTTAAAATTAGATTAGACACATGATAGCAAACAGAGGACGATCTTGGTGGCAGAGCCATGCGTATGTGTGTTGATCAATGGGACCAAGTACAGCTAGCTTCCCGTGTGCTACTGAAGATGCTGAAAGTGTCCATGGGTTGGGTGAAAGTATGTAAGGAGCGGATGTCAATATCAGAAGGGTGGCGATTGTGCCCGAGGAGTACTAAGTGCAGATATGAGTGCAAAAAAAGGAAGATACTTGATCGCAATGACCTCTCCATCCATCTGCTTGTTTGAGTGCTGTGTATATGAGGGATTTATCGGACGGATGAGATGCGATCCATGACAGATGGTATCCAACAGGGGTTTGAGTGAGGAGATCAAGTGTTGGAGATCCTGTCGATGGTGTTGGATCAAAGGATAACATGTGAATCAAGTCAGTGTATGAAGCAACAAGGGAGGTGAATGCACATATGTAAAGAGATAGATCCTTGATAGAAGGGTTTGATATTTGATGGACTATGGGATTTTATGTACTGTGTTGGCCATTTGGTCGTCCTCTGCATCGAAATCATCTCCTAGGATCTCATCCAAGGGAAGTTCAATAGTTGGACGAAAGATGCTAAAGCCAGTAGTGCAGCCACCGCTGATGCCTTTACAGTAGCTCATAGGGTTTGTGAGGGTGGGCAGGAGCATGAGCGTTTGACGGCTTGTTGATGGATGAGGTCGGTGGAAGTGTTCTGTTTGAAGTCTGGTGTGGTAGATGGTTGACCGTAAGCGATGTTGTACCCTATACTGGAGTTGAAGAGAACGGGGTCTTGAGGGACTGTGATGATTGTGCGACGGAGGCTTGAGAGTGTTACTGTCAAGATGTCTTGTCCATTGATGAGGATATGACCTTGTCCAGGTTGGAGGTCATAGAAATGATAGAGGAGGCGCAAAATTTCTCAGTGTGCACGGGGCTTTGGTTGATCGTGCAGTATATGCCACTGAGGTTCGAGAGAGGGAAAGAAAACACTGACATGAAACAGATGAAGCACCCTGGGGCAGGGACAGGCCTGGAACAATTCCCTTAGCATCTGTACGCCATCATCGAGATTGAAACCAGCTGCAAGGGAGAAGTCAAGAAGATGCGTTTGAGAGAAGAAATGAGTTAATGATTGAAATTAAGCTATCAATGAACATAAGTCCAGAAGAACGTAAGATACCAGCAGGTAAACAAAAAATGATGAAAAACAAGAGAGAAAAGTCATTATGGTATTTCATAGACGGTGGTGGCATCCTCAACATCGTCACACTCCTGGTCTGCGATAACTTTGAGAAGTGTCTTGTGTGAGCTACTGCCACCTGAAACTCTACTAATGTTAAGTGTTGAAAGCTTGTCAGTCTCTGTGTCACGTAGTAGTTCGTATTCCATGTCCCATTGTGATGCAGCCCATCCTTTGGTGAAGTTGAGTCTCTCTTTTTTCAGGAAGAACTTGACAATTTGTAGCGCCTCCATCAGCACTGGGCTGAGGTGGTTACACTTCTGTGTGTTGGTCTCACTGCTTGATGAAAACATGCACTCGCAGGGGATGGCAGATGCCTGTATCGGGAGATAGTCCAAAGCAATTGCATAGGCAGTTGGAAACATGGTGTGAGAGGCCTGGTTAACAATTCATAGTCAGTAATGAAAGGTCTAACACGAGGAGATAGAAAGATCTTACGGTCCAAAATGAGAGAATATTTGTTCCATTGGGGCTGTGAGTAGCGGTGCTATAAGCATTGAACTCCTGAATGACCGTTTGGGTGCCTTCATCACAACATGACGGTGAGTCCACCTTAGGAAGTCCATAGAGGCATGACCCTAGTGTGTGTGACTGTCGCTGTACTGCTTGTATGGTTGGTGCAGAGTTGGAAGCCTGGGTCCCCCTCTTGGTATGCATCTGCATAACGCATTAGTTCAATGTGCGCTGCTATTAGCGAAAGACATACAAGGTTAATGATAAAGTTCTTGGCATTCTGAGTCCGCTGTTTGTCCCAATGATGTTCCATCCATGACATCCGTGAAGCAGGATTGACGACTATAGAGGGACCGACGACTCAGTGATGAGAACCAAACTCTCGTCAGAATACACAGGACTAACACATGGAGGCTGCGTAAGCATTGGTGGCACCCATCTGATCATCATATTTATCTGCCCACAGCAAACCTATGTTAATCAGAGGTGCGAAGTGTGGAAATTTCTTCGCTATGTGATCCCACCGCTGAATTAATCATTCAAAGGTTGGAACCGCACCACTGAGCGTAGGAGTACTTTCGCTCAACATGGCCTGTTGAGCAGCATGTGGTACCTAAATCGCACAGTAAGATGGATCATATATTTCAAACGCATTAGCACTGACCTCTAAAATCACCTCGAAATCCTGTAGAAAGTGCCACTCCATGGGAGTTAATTTCTTGTCAGCGATCAGGTGTTGATTCGGGTTTGCAAAGAACAAGTCCACGGCCTTGTCACTATTAGTCCACGACAGATGATTGGTGTAGTGAAGGTTTGCTTACCTGGCGAAGGGTTTGCAAACGATTCAGCATGATGTAGACCGAGTCCCAACGTGTTGGCTCGTCAAGAAGCAGTTGCACAACAGGCAGCTTGGTAGGTTGACCTGCGTGGTCTAGGAACCATTTGTTCTTGTTACCTGTGAGAATGGTGACTTCGAAACTGTCCCGATGCTGGTTTGATATGCGGCTTGTGTGCACGAGCACTCTGGCTCGATCAAGGGCTTTAGCATGCAGGGCTTGGACATACACTGTCTTGCTGATGGTCTGAACACCAACTACCCATGACTTGTCCATGTCCGAAAAGTCAGCGGTATGGTACTCGTCAATGATATGTTTGACGCATATGTTGATTATATGGGGGAAGCACAGAATTTGGTGCTCAACAGGATCAAACTCTATCCCACGTTCCTGCAGTAGGTGTGAGTACTCTTGCATAGACATGTGATTATTGCCGGTATTATCCAAAGTAAAATGACTGGACTAAGCGAATTCAGAGCATGCTATGCAGTACAACTAAAACACTCACTTTCTCAGTTACTTCGGCACAATTGAGGAGGCCCAATATCAATCGCCCTAAGCAGTCTCCCGTGTGACTCCCCGGTGTGTGATTGAAAGCTATCAATGCTGCCTTCAAAATAAGCATGGAACTTTGCTCATCTTTGGCAATCCAGTGGGTGGTGATGGCCATGAATGGGCGGAGGTTAGAGTCCAACCATAGATCAGATGTAAATGAGATCTTTCCCTATGCCATCTGGAAGATTTAAGATATTTTGCGCGACCCTTGAGAACTGTACACTTACCGCGAGGTCCCTTTTCAGGACCTCAAAGTACTTGTTAAAAGCCTCAAGGATTAACTCCTGAAATTTTGTGCGATGGCAGATGTCGCTATCATTTAACTCAGGTTGCAGAAGACAAATCAAACGTTGAAATTTGGGACATTCCACAATGTTGATTGCCTGAAGGCGTTATTAAGAATAGCGCATAGGAAGTGAACAGTAACCCACCTGATCGTCTGCCACAACAAACCTCACAAGCTGTTGATGCATCTCGTCAACAGTGAAGTTGGGTATCTCATCCTTCAGAGAACCTGACTGCTTGGTTCCAAGCAGTATGTCATCACGATTAGGGATGTCTCCAAGTGAATCCATTGTGCAAGACAGATCCCTGAGCCTTTCATGTATCGTCATGACCGTCCATCCTTGCTCAAGAAGAGCGTTTAGAGGCTTGATCTGTATGGGCCAACCATGGCACCCTGCCTCCTCCAAGTAAAGGATGGTATGATGGCTATATACATGAAAACGAGGACCTGTATTGCTTGTTGTACTGCTATACGACGTGACCTTGTATGTTGTGTCAAGTTCATATAGTTGTCTGGCGAAAGATGTAAGAGAAAAAAAGAACAGCAGGTATGATACTCACTCGCAAAGTATGCAAACATTACGCCCAGTAGTTGGATGCAGTCTGTAAAAGAAATGAACATCATCAGCACCTTTAGCCTTTCTTGTGAGACCACCGGTAGCCAAGAGATCAGTTTGTGTGGGATATGGGCTGTTAATGACCGTCTGAAGCGGGCTAGGGACTGTGGGAGCCATAACTCTAGGCGCAGGTGGGTGATCCTCTTCCTCTTCATCATCATCAGAGATATCGTCAAGATTGAAGATTTCCCCTTCATCAGCCATAGGTTGAGCATGACTGGGGTCAGCGTGGATTGAAGCATTATTCTGATATCTGCGAGGGAGCTGGCGATTTTGACGAGGTTTCATAAGTGTATTTGCAATTGAACCAACAGCAGTGGGGATGGGAACAGCGGGGATGGGAACAGCAAGGATGGGAACAGTGGGGATGGGAACAGCAGGGATGGGAATGGCGGGGATTGGGACAGCAGCAGGCATGGCAGTAGCTGGCTGTGCATGCCGGCGACCTGGCATGTTGGTAGTAGACTGGTGGTGATGATCTAAGGACAAAATCAAGTGTTTATATAAACCTTCGTCAGACACTGAAAATGCCGATTTGAACTAAAGCTAACCTTAATCCACGGGGTTGAAAGTTACTCCATCGATAGAGTGGGAGGCCTATGAAAAGGACAGGCTTGTGATTAGTTGAATCGATCAAGTAAAATAAAATTTACCTCACCATTAAGCAAAAGGGCAGTATCATATTTAATGGAATATCCCCCATGCGGCATCCAATGAAGTCATCCAGTGAAAGGGCAGCAACACGTTTGATGGAAAGTCCCCTGGTAGGCGTGCGATGAGGGATCTTGGAGTCTGTTGATAAATGTTCAGTGACTAGTCATTGATCAACATCAACATTACCTTGCACTATGGTCTGTGGGGCTGAATCACTAGCTATATGTTAGATTTGATGAGCTTTGAGGGTAGGATGTTCAGTGATGACTCTGATGAGTCCCTTGCAAGTTGCAAATTCCCATCATGGCATGGACTGAAGTAAAATATTACTACTGCCAATTTTCATGCTGCAAGGCAGATACCACATGAATCCTGTCATATGATACCCTACCTCGATTGATGATCTTACTCTTAGCCTCAAAATTTCTTCTTGCATCTGAGTCCTTAATGCCGCATGGTTGATACACGCGCACTTGTATGTTATGTCGTGCACTGTCAGTAGGTTGTATCGCACACTCAACACGTGTATTGCACACTCGACAGTTGTATCGCGTAGTTTATCAAAGTGGCATTTGGAGCATCATACAAGTACTGCATCGATAGGACATGGTACAGTGTGGTTTGCTGTAGCATACAAAACAATGTAATTGATACAATGTGCGGGCATACAGAATGGTAGTAGGACATAATGTACAATCCAACAGGGTGCAGAACAGCATGGTATATGTGGGATACTGTTAGCGAGAAGATATGTACAAGTATATGACTACACATATTTAACAGTGTCATGATTTATCTAGCACATTGCAGTGAGCTGTTACGCAGGCATAAACTTCCAAAAAAACAAGCCTCAGTTCATGAGTATGAAGCTGAAAGGGAGCACTTACACACAAGTTGATTAACGAAGAGGTGTTGCTTTCAGCGGAGATGAAGGCACTGCCTTAGCCACACTGTGTTCATCGGAGAATGCAGGGGCATGTACAACAGGATCAGACTCACTGAAATCCAGCAAGTATGAAGCTGGTATAGGTAAGGTAGCATGAAGATCATGGAGTAATGAGCGAAGGTAGTTGTAATCAGGATCCTGTGAGAATGCAAGGGAGCGTGTGTAAATGAGAAGACTTGCAAACCCAACAGGGATTCCATGACATAAAACTTCAATGGTAGTGTTTACTTTGCGTTCCAGCATGGTTGAGCTGGAGAGCTTCTCATGGTCATCGGTTAATCATGGAAGAGATCCACGCAAGAGATATATCAGTGTATATATCAGTGACTCAATATTATCACGACGACCCGTCTCAACTCTCAAATGACTGTTGATCGAGGCGAACGCAGGGGTACCAGTGAGATTTTGGCCTTGGCGAAATGGCACATGGGTTCTAGTTGAAGTGCTGCAGTACTCCTTTGCAATACCAAAGTCAACAATGAAGGCGGTGTGCCTCAAATCGTTGAGACCTACCAATATATTCTGCAGTTTAATATCACTGTGCACAAAATTGTGCGAGTGGATATATTTGAGACATGAGAGCTAGAAAGATGGTGTCAGTTCTTTGCAACAACACATTGTAAAGCAACTTACTAGTTGGTCTCCTAGATTCACAACATTGCAAAGGCTGAACTGTCAATTGCGTGCAATGAAGAAATCATGTAATGACAGCCCAAGGAGGTTGAGAACCAAAGCATAGTAGGTCGACTCTCTACCAAACCACAAGGCGCGGGGGATCCCAACTCCACCTGCAAGTCATTTTAAAATGTTGTATTCATGCTGCAAAGACGAGTGGTTGATGGTGGGTTCAAGTTTAATAGCAACTGAATCATCCTTTAAGAAGTTTTGTGCGTGGTACACAACAGCTAAGCACGGGTCATATGTTGAATGTGAATCAATATATCATCACCAGGAGAGAATCACATACCGTATGTGCCCAAACCCAGAACATCTCCAAGCCTGAATCTGCCATCAACGCAGGTAGGGACTTTGTTCATAGTACAAATTACTGTAGAAGCTCAATAGAGAACATCTAACCAACAAAAGAGGGAATGAGGAAAGGTCTTACCACGTGTTACTAGCTGGCTTGTGCCGGCTTTAACCAGCTCAAGCTGTGGTTCATACATTCCTGGCTTTAGCTGGTTTGCGTGGCTGGCCAACGCTGCAAACCAGTCCACATGGCAAATCAGCGGCTCGGCTCACCAGAATCGCCAAACTACCGGCGCATCGGTAAATGCCGAACCTGAGCAGACCCAAACCGAACCGCGGCATTACTACCTAGCAGTAAGGTACCTCCTAGCGACGTCAAAAAAACTTCATGAGACCAAAGCCTTTGATATATTAATTTGAGACACTTCAAACTAAGCTAGAATATACATGTTTTTGTGTGACGAAAGACTCCTCAGAACTCCGTCAAAGTCTGAACCCTCAGTGACTGACAATCGTGAACAGATTTGCTCCAATAAAAAATCCGTCTTACAGTTTTGTTCCCCCCATCAAACTGAGCACTTTTGTAAGAGGAAAAAGCAATCCGATTTTTTTTGAAGGTGGTGGGAAACTTGTACAAAAGTGGTGGTGACTAAGTGATGTGCACCATATAATGTGAGGACTTAAGAACACTCGTACAGTAACGTCATCGGCCAAACAGGGGTTCTCATCGAGTGCAGCGGAACCTTGCGTGAACGCAGTGCAAGAAACCGCCATTGTCATGAAGGTGTGCAATATCACACAGCTTGTTAGAGTCTTCACAGTGATATGCATTTTAGGAGTTTTACAACCGATCAAGAAGGATTGTGAGAGAAAGTCAGCCGGGACAGCGGGATACTCATGTCGGTGTTGTAGACCGACAGTGTATTGACGAGTAACATCTACATGTAAAATCCAATTGACCTTCGTGCACAGCAGATCAATGCTACTCAAGCATGTCTAGATACAGATCGCGAACTGCGTTACAAAGGGATATTATTTCACACAGGTACTGTGAAGGTATGAATGAAAACGCTTCAGGGGACCCGTCCTTCGACAAGAATACAGCTACAATATCTCTAGCGTCTTGACTTCCATCATGTCACCAACAGCAGTCAAGTCCTTGACTTGCGCGATGATATGGTTATCGGAAGCAATCCTCTTGTACTCCCCGCCACGCTGCTGCGCTAGCAAAAGTGCGCTGAAAGGCTGTCCCAGACGAACGATCAACCTCAACTCTCGTGAGTGAGACTCCGAATCAGCTGGCTCATTGTCTCCAGGAGACCAGATGAACTGATCATCTGACAGAGACTCAGGCTCCTGCCAGTTTTCCATGCTCTGCGTCTTGTCAGCAGAGTCAGGCAGCTCGATGTCATATCGGTTCCACGGACGGACGAACAAGAATGGCTGCCGACTAGAACTTGCCCGCGAGAGCTGAATTAAGTCATCTTCTGTGGTGATTGATAGGTCGTTAAGCCCGCGTGCCTTGACAGCATAAGTGAAACACTTCTGCGAGCCTTGACCACGCCTCTGTCTGAGTGCTGTGATGGGGAATGCAATGCAAGGCAATTGCAGCCTGCGGTCCGCAAAACGAGGAGGGTTCAGATTGGCAAGCCGGGTATACAGTGTCAAAGCCTGGTCTACGACAGTGGGATTTCGCAGCGACGAGACCGATGTCTGAATGTGATGTTCAGACAAAGATGCTGACGTGCATGGCAGAGCTTTGTATGAGGAAATCTCGGCTGGCAGACAGCTATTGAATTCGGATGATTTTCCGACCCAGTCTAGGGCAGTGATGTCGCCCGACTGAGCGATGATCGCTTGCAAGAGTCGCCCGAGCGCATTCTGCCTCGCCTCGCCATAGATGACCGGTAGGTGGACGCCGAAAATGCCAAACAATGAATATGCGATGTCTTCCTGCAACGTCGTGGCGCGCGTCGACGCCCATCGCAGTTTCTCGCGTGCGCCTGTCATGCCTGGACGGAACGCGACCAGTGCCTCTGCATCTATGCCTGTTGAATCCTCCAGCTCCTTCATGATAGTGACCGAATCTTTGTGGTTGGGAGAGCAGTCGTTGAGATACAAGGTCCAGTCCTGTTGATAGAAGAGAATGACAGTTGGAGCGAGGAACTCCTGAACAGTCCACCCTCGCATATTCCAAGCGCTCTTTGCGAGTGCGCCTGACTGCGCTGAGGGCGGAACATCCGAAAGGTAGACGATCGTAAGATCCGACTGACGATACCAAATAAACATCGAGTTCACCGATCGTTGGAGCTCCGCATTGTTGTCCTGGTCGATGCAGCATGTATCACTCCATGCCCATCGATGCCCCGCATCACGAGCGATCTCGCAGAACTTCTGCAACTTCACAACGGTTCCGACTGGATCCAAGTCATACACGGTTTTGGCCCGAATGTCGTGTAGCAGCGGCTCCTTGCTGCCCCATCTATGCGATAACATGGCGCGACTGAAATACTTTGCAACCGCTTTTTGGATGGGCTCCATTTGGACAGGCATGTGCATAACCGACGAAGAAAAAATCTCTTTGTATTCTGTGCTGTCCAGGAAGGCGTTTATCTGGGCCTCTCGATCACATATACGCCCAGTGGAGGTGTTGATTAGACGCAGCGGAGCATTTTCCAGTTGAACGTCAATGGCGCGTCGGATAATGCCTTCAACATCAGATGGACTAACATACTGCTGACGCAGCTCTGTGGAAAGTGTTCATGATTTTCACGTTGGCGCATGAGAGATTGGGGCTTACCTCGTGCCTGTGCGCCAGGCACATCATCTGACTTCAAGAGCATGGTTTTCAAGGCCTCGATCGCTTCGTCATAACGTTGAGCCTTGTGAAGGGCTGCATGCTTCAGTTCGTACCCCAGATAAGAAGGATCGAGTTCGATGACCTATGCACAGTATGAGAACAATCGCTAGACAAATGAAAGACATTATCCGCACCTTTTCCGCGTCGAAAATGGCCTCTACATAGAGGTCCCGTTCTAAGTTTGCCTTGCTGCGGTGCGCAAACAGGGACCCGCATGAGGAGTCAACCGCAATTCCCGCTGAATATAACTCAATAGCCGCCTCGTAATTGCTTGCAGTAACAGCTTCATCTCCCTTTGCGAGACAGCGCGCAGTACAAGTTTCCTTGAAAGCTAAACGTCCTCGGAGTAAATGTTGATGTTCGTTCGAGGCCCAAAGCACCCACCAGTAAACCATGCGAGGTAGCTATCCTTCACATCTTCGTCAGTCATACACATAGTGTGTTGGTGAGATTCGACCGCTTCGATCACTCGATCGGCGCGAAGGAGTGCATCGCACCGCCTTTGGTTGGCACTTTGCCATAATGAATCCAAGTCCCAGCCGAAGAGCTGTACAGCGCAAATCATTAAAAGTGTCCTGTGGGCTTCACAGTGACGTACCACTGTGAATACCTTCAATGTAGGTTCAAAGGGCATTCGGCGAGAGGACACGTCGGTTATACTAGGCATGACATCATTCAGTCGATCGGCGGCTTCGCTGTACCGCCCGTCATCGAAAGCTATTATTGCAAGCTGCACGCATAGATACGACTGAGGAGTGGGTTCGAAAGTGAGAAAACTCGTGAGGCATGACGTAAAGCTCACATTGACAACACTGCACGGAAGTGCATTCAAGGGACGACAAGCGGTGGCGAGGTCTTGAACTCGCCGCATCGCCTCATCGTGGCGACCGGCATTGAAAAGTACAACAGCCTGGACAAGATGGCATCAAAGTATTAGTACGACAGACAGACTCTGAGATAGCGACAAGAGTACCTTGATCAATAGTAAAAGACCGACGGTGATTGGGTCGCGATTCGAAAATACGAACGCGAGATCAAATGCTTCTGTCGCGTCCCAGAGCTGCTCCTTGGCGCAGAGTGCGATGGCCTTGGAAATGTAGCCCAATAACGAGGGCCGGATAGCAATGGACTGCGTCAAGAAGCAGAGTCAGCACCAACAGCGTCATGATACGCAGAGCATCTGACCTTGACTGAGTCTTGAAGGGCCTTGTCCCACTCTGAGTTTCGCGCCCTTACAACAGAGCGATTGGCATAGGAGTGGTGGTTGTTACCATCTGCATGGATCTCTTGTGACAGCAGGTCTTCAGTAATATGCAGATCCCCAGTGATGCATGAATTGCGGACGGTCTTGTTTATAGCAAGGATCTGCACAAAGAAAGTTCATGTTGTGTTATGAGCAGAGGCATCGAAGGAAGAAGCTCACATCAAACAACGAGATATTGTCTTCACTGCCAGAGGCTTGGTGAGTTTCAGAGGGATGATTGCTTGGACTGTCGTGATCGCCGGTGGGCTCGTGTTCGTTCTTGTCACTGTGCACCGGCAGCTGTTTGTCATGTGAATAAATAGAAAAGCGGAACAAGAATGGGAAACAGCATACGTGCGTGTCACTACGATAAGGGAACTGCTGTACTTCCTCATCATCTTTAATCGATTCGTCTACATTGTCTTCCTCGTTGGCAGATGAGTCGTGGTTGTTATCATCTGCGTCGGCCTCCTGGGACAGGAGGTCTTCAGCGGTATGCGGGTGCTTAGCAATGCATGCATTGGGTAGCGTCGTATATATAAGAGGGATCTGCATGAAGCAAGTTCATGTTCCGTGATAAGGATATAAATTGAAGGCAGCTCACGTCAAATAATGAAGGGTTGTCATCACTACCAGACGCTTGTTGCGAAGAATAGTCACTTGCACCGTCGTCATTGCCAGAGAGCTCGTCGTCGGTGTCATGACAGCGCGGCTGTGTGCCGCCGCCGAAAGCAATATGAATGAAGAGACAGACTAAAAATAATGGGTGATAGCATACCTGCGTGTCACTGAGACCAAGGAGTTGCTGTCGACGTGCTCCTTCATCGACCTTTGTCCTTTGTCCCGCCTTATGTTGCTCAAGTATCTCCTTGATAGACCAGAGCAGCACATTTCCGCTAAAATCTCCACTGACAAGCAGTTCTCCATTGGGAGAAATCGCGACAGACCTAAAGCTCCTGGTGTGTTTGAGTGGATGACCTATGTGTTGGTGTGTCTTTGTGCTCCACAGCCGCACAGTCTTGTCATCCGAGGCAGTGGCAATGAAGGAGCCGGCAGACGAGATGGCGAGCGAGAAGATGGAGTCAGTGTGACCGGTGCAAGGTTGACCGATCTGGTGTCCATTGGACGAATTCCAGAACTCGACTTTGCTGTCAGATGATGCAGAGACAAGTCGCTGGCCGTCAGGCGACCACACAACACTTTGAACCCAACTGTAGTGAGCGTCGAACTTGAGAAGAAGCTCGGCGTTATCGGTGCGCCAAACCCGGATGTCACCTTTTGATCCAGAGGCTAATTTTAGCCCATCTGGGCTGAATGTGACACTGCACACCGAATCACGATGACCCTTGAGTGTTGCGAGGACAGCGCCGGTCTCTGCATTCCATACAACAACCGTGCAATCCTTTGACCCGCTGGCGAGTTTCTTGCCATCGGGTGAGAAGCACACAGACCACACCGTGCCTGTATGCTTCACCAGCGGTTCGATTACTTTCTGCTTGCTCTCGACGTCCCAGATGATGATGGTTTTATCATCTCCACCGCTCGCAATTCGCATGTCGTCTGGTGATACGGCCACAGAATTCACCTTGCCCTTGTGTCCCTTGAATGGCCCTCCTACCAATGCTCCTGTCTCCAAGTCCCAGATGCGCAGGGTTGTATCATATGAACCAGTGACGACCCGTCGACCATCTTTGAAGAATTCGACTGCTGCCACGTTCTGCGTATGCCCTTTCATCATCCGCATTGGTGCCAGTTGCCCTTCCGTTGTCTGCGCCGGCGTCAGCTCCCGTCTCAGAGTGAGATCCGCATCTCTTCCTGCATCAGGCACCCTTGACATCTCGCGTTGACCTAGACAGAGATATAGACGGTCAGCAGCATTTGAAGTTGACGAGGACCGTACCTTTAGGATATCCTTGCATTGGGGGTCTGGTGGTGGTGAGTAGTGTTGGACTTCTGCCCATGACCCAACTCATGTAGGCGCTTATCCAGGGTTCTTCCGTGTCACGCTACCACGGCGTGGATTTCATTTGGCTTCTTCCACCATCACTGCCCCCTTTATGAACGCCCGTCATGTATCAATATCCCCTCCATTCTGTGCACGAACTCGCATGCATCTGGTACTACCATATACTACAGTCTACCCTTCTGCAGTCATATATTTCCTCCACTCGATCATCTTTCATCATCCTTTGTAAGTTATAACGCACCCTACTTCGCCACAGAACCTATATAGAACGATCGCTCGGCGCTCATGTCCGATCGCTTCTGGTTATCGATGGAATATTACAGATTCGTTGATGGGCGTGCGTGGTGTGTACTGATTTACTTGCTTCTCCGCGCGATAACGGTCCGTACCACCCTAGCCACATCAATATCATCTCCGCTACTAACGCCATATTTCATGTGGACAGTTTTCCCCTCTCTGTCAATGCTTCTTTCGACGGTGCTTGATCGACACCTAGAACCGTCATCAGCAACTGCATTCAACGCAAATGCGCATCGCAAGCAACTCATAGGAAATATCGTTGTTGCTCTTGATCCTTCTATTGCAGTCGTAAGCAGAGTTTCAAATTATCTGTCTCGGGTGATGTTTCATAGATTGTAAACCTCTTCCGTTATCTTGGGATTCTCTTGCTATTCTACCCCACGTCTTACCCCAGTTATTTCGCGGTAAATTCCAGGCAGGACGCACCAGTCATAACCTAAAATCTGGTTATCTCTAGCCAGTCCACCATTCCACTTGTAATGAGCAGCTGAACAGGTAAGATTTATAGTTATTACCTCACCTCCAACCCGGGCAGAGCTTGAGTGAAATGCATTTGCCCATCAAGATCCCGGATGTGGTGGAAAAATGGATTCCCCTCCCAACCAACCCCCAACTCTCCCTTTCATATGGACCAGGGTTAGCGGCAGGATCAGCGTCGCTTGAATGTGCTTTTATCACTAACCTGGTGGGATCTTTGTTCGTTCTTCGCCATGATAGGCGAAAAACATCCCGCAGGTAGTAAATAACATCCTGCGTGATATGAGGTCAAGAACACGGCGGCGTAATTGAATCGAATTTTTGGGAGTTGGTGCAGTAGCCACACTGAACAGCACTGATAACGAGGAGGGGATCATAGACGAAATGCTCCTCGTATTCTATACTATTCTAGACCGTCGTATTGGGATACTCCGTAGGATTGTCATAAGGGATAGTAGACAACATATCTGATGTGGGCGTTTCGAGTAGGTTATATATTAACTAGAATTTTATCCCGAAATGGAAGGAAATCGCATCGAAGAACTGTCAGCAGTAGCTTGAGTCAAGCTTGAGCGTATCCCCAGTCAGCTTTCAAATTTGGCTCTTATCGAGCCCCGTACATCCATACGACAGCCATCGTATCACCTATCTGACTGTACTTTTATAAAAAGTTGCAGGAATCAATCGCTGTGTGGCACCTATCTGCGCTGCAGAGTCCGACTTTCACTCATGCGTTACGGACTGCCACGCTCACCTTCACCATCTCCTGTACGGAGGTACGTGCACAGTGTATGATTTAGCGAACCAAGCCGACCCAGTACCAACAGATCATCTCGCAGACGCAACTCTACTTTCGGTCTCCCATCAGATTCTGAAAGCGATTTCGAGGAGCCACCAACAGATTCAGACTCAGAATTATCATCCCCCAGCTCCCTTTCATCAGACTCGTTCTGCTATGCGTCTGAAAAAGAAGTCCCTCCTCCTCCTCCGTGCGTGTGTTATTATTATCTGTGCTCACGCTCGCTCACATTGCTTTTGCAGCCGCCCTAAGCGCGAACCGCGCAGTCCAGCTGAACAGCGTCACGTAGAGGAAACTGTGGCTGCCATACGTTTACGCACGCGACACCATGATCCCTATGAAGAATGGGAGAAACAGACGCGCAAAGATGCATTTGTGCGTGGTCATATCTATCTACGCTAGTACCCCCTGACAGTCCTCTCAATAGCACACAGCGCGCAGAGCACAGGTTCAGACGCGTTTAGAGACGCAAGGTCGGCGCGCCCAGCGCAACGTGCAGGAGCTGCAATCGTTAGCAGCCACCCACGCACAGCAGGTCGCGGAAGTGCAGAAGCAACTTGCAGCATTACAGGTCAGGCAGCAGGCGGACGTTAATACGCTCGTAAACAGCTGGAAGGAACAAGATAAGAAGTTCCGTGATAGGATAGAGGGCGTCATACGGGTTGAAGAGGAGCGACTGCGCGCCAGACTCGAAGCTGAGCGCAGAGCCCGGGAAGAGGTCGAGAGAAAACGGAAGGAGGAGGAAGAAAGACGAAAAGTAGAGGAAGAGACGAAGCGGCTAGAAGAGGAAAGGGCACAAAGGCAGCGAGAGGCAGAAGCGGCTGCGAAACGGCAAGAAGAGGAGAAGGAGCGCTTGCGCAGGGAGAAGCTGGATGCTGAGGAACAGGGCAGGGCACAATTAGGAATGTCCTTGGCCGAAGAGGACTGGGTGTATGCCCGTGAAACTCTCAAGGTGCAGCGGCTGCTTCTTACGGCGTACTGCAATACTAATACCTTATTCAGAATTTAAAAGCCGGGGCAATGAAGAGAGTCAAGGAGGACAAGCAACTCAAATCCCAATGGAGCGCCATTCGCCGACAGATAACACCAAAGATCGGGCAACTTACACATGACATCGACTCCGTCATGCGGATAGTAAGTTCATTTCCGCTATTAATACATCACCTGAAATTAAACTTTACAGACCCAACAAATCAACGATATCGTTCGTCCAAACGAACGACTTCCTCTCGACATCTACTTCGCCGCTCTGTCCTCACTAGCAAAAGCCATCCTTCTTCAAGCCGAAACAGAGGTCACCGCCGAAAAGCGGAGCGCTATACCCCTGGCCATGGTTGCCGCGAGACTGCTAGGCACGCTGGAAGGTTTTCCGGACATCTTCTTCGCGAAGCTCGTACAACGGTCCGGTGGGTGGCCTGTGCCGTCAGCGATTCCTTCCACGGACTCGGACGGTACTGCGTGGAAAGGCGAGGAGCGCACCAAGGCTATGGGATACCGGACGAATGAAGGCCAGAGGGAGAACTTATCTGAACACGTTATGCGCGTATCAGGGATGATGCGTGTTTATTTCCTGATTCTGGCTGCGCCTGTACCGCAGCCATTGGAAAAGATGTTCCAGTTACCACGTTTCTGGACGTATTTCGCTAGGATGATTGGCGATGAGAGATTGTTGGAGACGGCAGTCGCCGCAGAGGTCCTTCACTGTGCGTTTTTTGTGATCGGGTGCTAACCGGGGTCTCACTCGTAAAATTCCAGCTGCACTTGATGTTGGAGGCATGGAAGCGAAATTCATATGGGGTAACCAGTGGGTGAAGATGCTGGAGTTGCTTTACGAGGGCGCAACGACAGGTATTGGTGGAGCAGCAGGGAAGCTGGTCGGTGGCCAAACCCCTGAGGGAAAGGCGGCACGCGTACGAGTACAACTTCAGATAGAACGCATCATGCAGGCCACGAGCTTGCGATGAGGCTTGCAGGGATTCTCTCCGCCCAATCACCCATCTATTCGTTCACAACTATCGATATTTTGGAAGCGCATGCATTCATGTACAATAGCATCAGCCTATACATAGCATTTCAGCCACTATCCTTGTCGTGACCCGGAGATGAAACGTGAGTGGGGTCAGAGATTAGGTTTCATCATGTGGTGCGTATGTATTGGTGCACGATGATGGTGCCCCACTGTTGCGAAATTAGGTCGCACCTAGACCTGGAGATGAACATAAAGTTAACTTTCGGCCTATCTATATGCGATAGGCGCTCCCTAAAGGCTGGGGGATGCCCTGTGCGGCGTTCGCGACAGAGGTCAGCCTCGATAGAACACTTGGGACCCACCGGTAGATGCCTTATCATTGACAAGAAGAGTGGTGAAACGCTCAGCTCATCGCATCGTGTTCAGATGGCTTCGGAGAAAATGTGGCTTCAAAGAGGGGCTCCCAAGACGGCTTAATCAGGAGATGTACATCGGAGTGGAAAGCAAACCCCGTAGAGGTCAGCCTCGATACAACACGTGCGACCGCCAATAGGTGCCATGTCACCCTAATCACTGACAAGAAGAGGGGTGAAACGCTCAGCTCATTACATCGTGTTCGGATGGCTTCGGAGAAAATGTGGCTTCGAAGAGGGACTCCCAAGACGGTTTAATCAAGAGATAGGCATCGGAGTGGAAAGCAAAACTCGGTGATATGCGATCTCGCCCACATTCGTCGAGTATTGTGATAAGCGCACACCAACGACGCTCGGGCTGCGCCGATGGCGCTTTGTCGAGAAAACCAGTCGAAGCAGCGTAGGCTGGATTCGCCAGGCACTGTAGAGCATTACAAGCGTTCCGGGCGATCTGTGTGCGGGTACGCACTTAACTGATTCTCCGAATCGATATCGGATCAGTGTGCCTGATACCCGCGTTAGAGCTGTTCAAACAGCGAGTTCTTGTGTTTCAGCGTCAAGAATATCTTCTTGGCAACACCGGGCCGTGTGGAAAATAGGCCGTCGTATGACTCCTGGCCTACGGGAATGGCACGTCTTGCAGTCCTGCCACAGCTCCAAGATCAGATTGTGATAACTTTAAAACATGATTCATAGATGACAGCATGGCCTAGGGCGTGTCCGAAGAAGAGCTTTCTATCCGCTATCGAATCCGATAATCGATGGTTAGCAAGAAAGGAAACATACCGCGAGTAAAACATGTGTGCAGAGGGTTATTCCGTCCTATTCTTTCGTGGTGATTATCAGTCATTTTTTTTGGCCTGTTGATGATTTGTACGACAAACCTGTGGATCCGGTATGTCAATGTTACCGAGAGATATCTGGAATTCGACTTCCGATGACGGAGGATGGCCTTGTGAGATGACCAAATGTGGGTATCTTTGGTTTTTTGCTGAGTGGTTTGGACATTATCTTGCTCCGTCCGAGGCCAGGAGCCGCTGTGGGGCGTTCCTGTTGAGCAGCAAGCGCAGTGAACGGTGGTAAGAAATGGACAACCGAATTAGGCGAAACCACCCATATTAGTCTCAAACGATATCGATTGATGAATTCGGTCACTCCTGGGAGGCCGGAGTGTGGGTAATTGTCCCGCCTCTGTCTAATGTGAGAGCTGCGGTTGACCGCAGGAGACATATGCATGTGGATAGAATATATACCATCAACCAGGAGACCTAGATGGCGGGTGAATCCCGCCGTGGCGGGAACACGTGTTTCGCACACCAGGAAGGTGATACCTAAAATGGGCAAATAGTGTGAGACATGGTTCAACGGTTCCGACTGGTATTTTTGCCAATACTCAGGCGTCTCTTAACATAGAAAGGCTGTAAGTTCCATCGGCAAGCTGCGTATGATAGCCTCGGCTGGCCATTTGGTCGAGTCATGCTTTCAAAGCCACCAGGACAAAGGGTGATATACCCTAAGCCCTAACCCTAAATTAGAACTTAGTACATTGCATATGTAATGGGAATGGAAGAAACCTTAACTTAATATTATTCGAATAATCGTATTTGAGATCCTGATAGAAAAACCTAGATCATGAGGGGGTCCTCTAGAAAATGACATAGAACTTCACAGATGCAGCTTACAGATCAAATGAAAATATTATGAAGACGGCGTGTTTTGTGATTCTGGATGACAAGGAAATACGATTTGTTTGGTCAGCCCATGCGTGCAGTGCATTGTTTGGCTACTTTTGTAAATTGCCGTCATTCAGAGATTTTTCTCTTCATGCTATTTATCCACCACCAGGTCAAGCGGTATCCCTTGTCAATAGCTTTCTAACTAGCAAACCTGGCAAGGGTTTCATCGTCTTGACCTCATGCTCACGCTAAATCCTGGTTCGGTCTGCGACGTCTGCGCAGAAGAGTACGGTCCCGCACTGTGTTCCTCATTCTATCCCTTGCGGTGAGCTCAAAACTTTCGATGATGTGGGAATTTTTTTTGACTCGACTCTTAAATCTTTCTATCCCTAGGTCACGTCCTCTGCTCAAGTTGCTGCCATAAAATCGTAGAAAAGACATTGCCTCGCCTCCAACCTGTCTGTCCTTTCTGTCGGGATCATTTCACCAGTGATGATGTGCGTTTAATCCGCATCGACTTTTCATCAAGCGGATGGGCCACTACTCGGCGGCGAGGTGGTCTCACTGAGGCTCTTGATATTGCTGACCGCTCCTCCGCACGACGGGAAGATCGTTTTCCCCTCGTCGAGCCGGGCTTCTCGCGTACTCGCGCAGAAGCTCGCAGGTTGGAGGATAAAGTGGCCAAGGTGGCTGCTAAAAAATGCTCCGTGGAAGAGGTTTCGACTCTACACAACGAGCTACAAGACTGGTTGACTCATGATGAGAAATCTCACGACCAGGTATTTTTTTTCTTAGTGTCCAATGTTTGCGGTTCCGCTAACTTTTGGGTACAGCTTTCTTCTTTATCCTTGAGTGCTGCGCTGCTCAGGGCAATTTTGATGAATCACTTCGCTCATTCGGAAGCTACGAAAATGGCAAAGGGAGTCGAGGCCACCCTAAAAGGGAAGCTTGACGACATGGAATTAACTGTCGGCAAGCTAGAAGCCGATCTAAAGCAGTACGTCACCTTCCATCTATATACTTTGCTTGGCTGACTCCTCTTCTAGACAAGTACGTTATTTGTAAGGGCCGTTATGCACGCTGCTTACCGTGATTCTGTTTCTTATAGCAAGCCCTTCATACCCAAAAAGTACAAGAATGCCAAGCTCTTCGAGCAGAGCTTAGCCGTTACACTCTTAAGTCCGCTTCATCAGTCGCCTGCATCGTCACCTGCCCGCCCCAGCACCGCCGCTCCAACCGGATTGAGCGAGCGTCGCCAATCAGTTTCTTCGTCGTCGACATCCGCGTACAATGTACCAGCCATGCCCTCCATGCTCTCGCGCTTCGCAGCTACTCATTCTCGAAGCGCCTCCACTTCTGTGTCAGGAGGGTCAAGACCAACGACCCCCGCACGCATGACGGCGCCATCGATTAGGTCTGAGACTCCGATGCAAGCGCCGATGACGTCGTCTCGCTTAAGTTCTACGTCACCCATCCCACCATCGAGGCCGCGAACCATCTCCGTCTCCGCGACATCACCTCAAAAAATAACTCGTTCGCGCTCCGATGAGCAGGAGAGAGAGCGAGAACGGATTCACGAACGTTGGATGCCATCGCCAAACGTGGCATACAGCCCCCCCACAGGCAAAACTATCAACTATCCACCCTATTTTGGTTCGACTCCAGCTCCCGGTCGTGCCCGCGCCTCGTTCTCAACAAACGCTGCTTAAAAACTTTCCATTTCTTTTTGGATTTGTCGTTGCTTGATTTTCAGTCTAGCGGTCCCAGGACTACTACTCTACTTTGTCTCATATTGCTATCTGTCGCCTAGTTCTCGTATCCATCTGTCTCATCTCTTCTTTCCTGTTACTCTCTCGCATCTTTCTCATCTGCATCTCTCATCATTCACGCTGCTCCTTATACTAATGTTTTATTTCTTTGTATCCTATTTTTTCTCTTTCTTGACCTCATTTGGCTTTAGCAGGATTTCTCAGCCAAACCCCTGTTTCGTTCCGTGTTACTTATTCCCTTTGAACTTTTCATCCATTAATAAGGAGCGCGTTTTTATGTGCGTTTGATTGCACAGCATATTCCTGTAGCATTGCGTTCTTTCCTCTTTCCTGCTTTCACTGTCACTAGCGTTCCTTGCTGTCGCTTGTCCTTTTTCATCCTTTCCATTCCTCTCCGCCCCGCTTCCATTCCTCTGTCTCGTTTCCATTCCATCCGCTTCCCATCGATTCCCGAACTAATCTGTTGAACTTACACCCTTCCTCCTCCGTATCCCCCTCTCACCCTTCTATCCCAGCCGATGTGCTTTCTGATCTACCGTTTCGCTATCAGTTACTTGCTTTTCATGACCAGTTTGCGGATTTTAGTTTCCGCGGACTCCTTTACGGATTTTGATGATTCTCAGTACTTACACAGTAGTACATGATTTTGTGATGTTTTACATAGACGAATGATGACTCGATCTCATTCATTCCGCCGTTGATTTAATATTGCGACTCCATATCGTCGTTGAAGATTTCTGCGCTCTATTCTAGAGTTCTTTCGAGTTGGATCTGAAACTCAAAACGCTTCATTGCGGATAGTTCGAGGAATTGGTCATCTAAGCGCTGCCGCTGCTTCAGTATTTCAACTCTCTCAACGTAAACTTGGGCTTGTGCAGGGCTAAGTCCATGGCCATAATCACATGCCGTTGATTGTACTGACTTCAAGGTATGAACGCCGCGTATCTTGGACTCTACTTCGCCATTGACAAATACTTTTGTCTGCTTCGTGAGTCGAACTTTCTGATGCTTATAATTATCATTCTACGGCCGATCCGCGCATACTGGGTTTCTGCACCATTCCAGGGCGCGAACATTTGCTTTCGAGTCCCTGAACTCTGTAAGGTTATATCTGCTGCAGCGTGTTGTACACGCCGCCTTCCTGAACAGGCCGACCCGATAAAACGAGGCTATGATGTTTGCGCATCATCGGCTCTAACTACACACGGTCTCACACAAGAGCCACCTTTCCAGCTTATTTTCTCGCCGGATATTACACAAGATTTTCAGGGTACCGTAAGCGTGGCGACCTGCAACGTTGCAAACACATGTGGTTTGTAGAAGGGTGGTTAAACCTTTGTTCACCGCAGATCGAATCCTTCTTTTATTCCTTCCACTGCTGGCATTAAGCGTTATCGTACTCCGCTCCGCCGCGTATCGTGCATGCACAGCTTAGCCTGAATACGCTTTGTGACGTGAATGACATTCATCCCTACAACGCGATTGTTGGAAGGTAGGGGGACGTAACTTGATATCGATCAATTGGCGAGCGATTCCTTCAATGTGGGTTTCGTTGATCGTCGATCAGCCTGAACGCAAGGCCTGCACATCGTTCCATGAACATGCACAGGGGTCATTGACGTCCTTCGACTCCTTCGATTTACAGTGCCTTGACGAAGCGTCGATGTCGTTGAAAACGACGAACTCTGAATCTTGAGACGTCTAATAATATTGCGAGTTTGCTTCTATCAGTTGCTGTGTATCGAATATTTTTGGCCCGAATGTTTTATTGATAGTATAGGGTATGCTTAAACGGGACATGGAGCCTGCCGTGCTGGTCGTATCAAGTCGTATCGCAATCACCGCCAGCTCATAACACGAGTTGCCAGTTATCAAGGCTAAATCATCCGATATATCGTTTGCTACAGCTTATTTATACAACAACGGGAAAGTTAAACATGATATATTATAGTCCAGCAAGTAGTTCAGCGGTGACCAGGAGGGACCTGATATCGGGAACATGATGAGAACATGTGCAGATAACAAATACAACCGATACTTACGCTCAAGCCCAATGCAGCTGAGATGCTATTGTATTCTGCGGTCGTGGGGGTCGCAGTGCCCGCGCAAACTGTGTGTCATCAGTGATTAGATCGAGGAACGGCAGTATTTCAACGTACTTTGGGACATGCGGGCCTGGTCACTGCCAGTCGCGGCAGCGAGCTGCTGTGCATTCATGCCTGATCAGGGGGCATACTGTTATCAGCATGCAGTGATCGAGTATGTACAATGACATGCGCACCCGAGTTGGCGAGAGCGGTGGAGAAGGCGTTGCAGACAGTCATAGTGAATGGGTTGATGTAGATGTGGGTTGCAGGATAAGAGACCCTGATACCCGTTTGATGGGTTTATATACCGCACAGGTGACAGGTGACTGATTAATCCATGATGAACTATTGGGGACTTGTTTTGGGCAGGTGACCGGGTAGCCCTGCCAAGAAGAGGGTCTAGTTTATCTGATAAGATTTATACAGACGCCCCAGGATTGAATGCATCGAATTGAAGTGCATGTTGCCAACTCGCAGACAGAAGGCGTGGTTTGACAGGATAGGGCAGTATGAGATACTTATCGTAAGTCTGCAAGCATTGATCAGGATCGCAATGTATCGCGATTCATTGGGCTAGTATAAAAGCGCAGATGCTCCGCGTGTGATAAGAGCATGGAAATACGATGTGCACGGATCTGGAGCTCATACACATTTATGGGTAGCGGCCAGAGTACTCTCACCCACTAAGTTTACAGTGGATTTGGAGGAAGTTTGATACTGGAGTGTATCACCCGGCCGTTCAAATCTTATCGCGATCTGAAAAGGCATATTCAACGCGAATATATACAAACTTCTAGCACGAAGGGAAGTGGTAATACTTTGAACTTGGAGAAACGAAAATTGGATTATGTAAGGTTAGATGCTATTTTTGTTTGTTCGTGTTTACACAGTTCCCCACAGCCGCAAACCTTGCTTCAGATACTTCGACCTCAAGGACCGTATCGCTGAATATACCTCAAGCCCGTCAAAATGGTGCGTATATCGTCTTGTACATTGTTCTATGGTGTTTTACGCCGTTCATTTCAATGTCGTTTCGCGATTTTGGCCTGTTGTTGAGGTGGATTGCAAGCTCACTTTTGGATGCATAGCCGCCGAAGAAAGTCAAGGTCGCCAAAGAAGAAAACACTGTTTCGCTCGGTCCTCAGGTTGCCGAGGGAGAGCTAGTTTTCGGTGTCGCACACATTTATGCCTCTTTCAACGATACCTTCGTCCATGTCACCGATCTTTCGGGCAAGGAGACCATCTCTCGTGTCACGGGTACGGTGATTTGCCATCCTGACATAGATCTTTGCTTCATGATTATGCATAGGTGGCATGAAAGTGAAGGCTGACCGTGATGAATCGTCCCCATACGCCTGCCATGTTGGCTGCTCAGGATGTTGCTACGCGATGCCGCGAGGTCGGCATTACCGCCCTCCACATTAAGCTCCGTGCAACCGGTGGTACTGGCACTAAGACCCCTGGTCCTGGTGCACAGAGCGCCCTCCGTGCTCTTGCTCGCGCTGGCATGCGCATTGGACGTATCGAGGACGTTACACCTGTTCCTACCGACTCCACCAGGCGCAAGGTATGCACTATCTCTCAAATCATAAGGGATCTTTCTTATTAATCTCCTGACAGGGTGGTCGTCGTGGTCGTCGTCTATGATCTTCGTATTTTCGTTCTTGCTATGAGATTCCCGAAGAGCTAAAAATTAATACGCATGTACTTGGGGTTACAAATGATATGTCGCCGTTCGACGCGCATCAGGTTCCTGCCTGCCCCGCGGTCGTTCCCCTGTTTGTGTCTCTAGTATTGTGCTGTCAACAACCTTTGTGCTTTGCATCGAGTCGTGAAGTATGAAAAACACGTGAGACTGGACCGGTACCGACAATGTTTGAAACCCTGATGTTCAATTACTTTACATGTAAGTAACAGCCTCGTTGCTTTTAATTCCTTGTACACTTGTTGCACACACTACGTACCATACCTCCTCGGCCTGAAGTCATCGAATGCAAGGAGTGGCCAGCAATGCAGCTCATGCTTGTAGTATCGATTTTTGCGCAAGGTCTCGGACTGGACCATGTCTGGGTTCTACTCTGAGGTCTGTGTCACCGGAGGCGAGAATATGCCGCGAGACGGACCTGTGATCATGTACGTCTACCCTTCATCTTGTAGCAGACCTATTGTCATGCGTCGTTCAGTGCCGCGACCCATCATAACGAAATTATCGATATAGCTGCGTTATGTGAGCTCTTTTAACTGAATCCCCATGTTACGGCTCACTTAAACAGTGGTATCGTAGCGGCGACGATCCCATATCGTCGTAGGGTATGCTACTGGGCCAAGTCCTCTCTCTTCAAGAATCCCGTATCCGGTGTCCTGCTCACTTCCTCAGGAAGCATCCCTGTCTACCGTAACCCCAACAGCTTCTCATCGTCGAATCCTCTGAACAGCAGCAGCAGCAGCGCTTCGCAAGCAGACCTGTTTCGTCACACCTCCGCTGCTCTTGTAGCTGGCGAGGTAATCGGTGTATTCCCTGAGGGAACGTCGTACACGGAGCCCGGAATCGTGCAAGTGAAGGACGGCGCAGCGTGGGCTGCGGTGGAGTACGCTAAAGTCATAAATATGTCCGGGAAGGAAGGCAAGGAGTTGGTCATTGTCCCTGCGGCGATAGTCTATACGGATAAATCCAAGTATCAGAGCAGGGTGAGTTTTTTTCGGCATTTTTGTCTGATCTGATCGAATATGGGTTGTAGGTCTGTGTCAGGTAGGTACTGGGGTCTATTGTCGAGCAATTTGACTGATCAGGACCTTGAACTAATCAGATACGGAAAACCAATAGTAGTTAGCGAATACGCAGCAAAACTGGATCCGGAGAGTGCTGAGAGCACACGTTCTGTGGTCAAAGAGATCACTGCTGTGATCGAGTCAGAGCTCAGGCACTTGACTGTGAATGCTCCTGACTGGTGTGTTCTATCCTATCATGAAACTGACGGTTTTATCATATCGCATGATTCAGGAAAACATTGCATGCGGCTTGTGCAGCAAGGAAGGTGTCTTGGAAGAACGAGGATCGCATCGCACTTCATAGCTTTGTGGATACCACTCAAAGGTGAGTTGAACGCCTCTTGTACAGTCTCCCGAAGTTTTGATGACTGCAAGGTTTGTCAAGACCTTTTCGCCAAGAAGTGAATCAATGGAAGTACGGAAGGCCGTTTTGAATAGATACCTAGCGCTTCTGCACTTCACCGACACTTCTCATTCAACGCTGGAAGACCTCTACCCTTCTGTTAAGCACGATGAAGACTTTCCTATGCAACCCCTTCTTTGGCCGTCTCGTATACGCGCTGGTGCCACACTCCTGTCGCAACTGTGCATTATCATGTTCCATCCCCGTGCCCTCCTCTTCTTCCCGGTATTCCTGGTTCACGTTCCGGGGTATATTACCGGCTGGCTCGCCGCACGGATGCTGACAATACCGAATGAAGAAGAGACTAAGGCTCAGTTCAAAGCTATATTTGGAGGTCTGGGATTTGCCTTGTCCTATGGTTTGCTCACGCGAGCGTGCGTGAAGCTTGCCGTGAATTTCACCTGTCCAGTCCATTTCCCAATTCGCAACGGAAATCTTACTGTTTTCATCGATAAAATTTTACAGGCGTTCTCGACGCTGTGCAGCTGCCTCACCGCAAGACAGGGGTCGTTGAAGAGTTCGCTTAGTATTCTCGCCGCAGCAGTTGGGATGACTTGGTCCCTTTGGAAGTGGCACAATGCCCTTGTGTATGGCAAGTCGATAAAGCTTTTAAAACTTTCTGATGCTCATTTCGCGAGTAGTGAACTACAGGCAGTGGGTGATGTGACTTGAAACTGTGGTCGTGGAGCTGACATTCACACAGATGGAAGCGCTTCCTGACTGCCTTGAGGGTTTTTACGGGCCTCTTGCTCCCTCCATCTTTTGATCTACCAGCTGATCAACTTCCAGCATATTCAACGCCACCGCTTCCGGCAGAGAACCCATATATCAAACGACACGTCGTCGAGGACTCGCCCAGAAACAGTACTCCCATTGGCGAGGTAGGACGCACGGTGACTCAATCTTCTTTCCAGAATGCCGAGCACATGAGCCCTGGTGTACAAGGTCCATCAATCCCCGCGAGGAAACTCATACGACACCTATTCCTCGCTCGTTCTGCGGCCTACCGTGCACTTCGGTCTTCGGATGAACGGGGGTGAAGCAAAGAAAAGGCGATGTTCATGGATTTTAATACGTTTAGCGTTTAGTAATTTTTGTTCGTCTAATTTATTTGCCTTGACGGGACTCCATGGAACGTTGGACCGGGCACGGACTGCAAGGGGAAACCCCAGGCCAAGCCTGTCAGGTGGGAGGTGGCGGCTCTATCTGTCGAGAGGACAGACTACGACATGCGGAGGACTATCGACGACCAGGACCCACGGCACCTCGTGTTAGACCTTCCTGCTACAACGGTCACCCTACAAATTGGAAGCATAGTGTTGAAGATTATAACGAGTGTAATTGGTATGCTTTACCAGTAAATTGTGTTCGTTGTCGTGGTCCCGACGCCAGGCACGGGCGACTCAAACACCTATGACTTACTTCACGGACCTTAGTTGTTTCTTGCTTCTTTCCGAGTCATGAGGCTATTATTCGTGTCAACTACAAGGGTGGGATTTCATAGGGCCATCAAGGGAAAGAGGGGTGAAACATTTACCACCTCGTACGCGCCTTTGAAGATCACGATGCGAACCAATCAATGGCTTGACGCCGTGACGTTGAAGCGAGAGGAAGTTAGCTGCAATTTTGCCGAACCATTGGATGTTATCATCCGAGCCCCAAATCATGCAATGCCTATGATAAGGGGCGCGCGCCCGACCTGGCCACGTACCCCGCTGTATCTGGATAGCACATGTTCTACGTGAACGTTGCGTGGCATAGTACATGCTATCAGATTTAGTAAATACCAGGTAGGAGCCGGTACTTGACAACCTTTGCCCAATTCTCCCACTCGTCTTTGAAGATCGACTTCACCATCTCATCCTCATGACCAATCCTAAGCACGAGGCTTGTTATAGCAATTATTCTCTGCGCTAGCAATGCCAACATAATCGCTTTCAGTCCAAAGATATTTAAAACGCCTGAGCGTCTCAAAAACGAGGACCACGATCCGTGCAAGATAAACATGCCGATGGACAACACGACTGCTCCCAAGTAGGATGGATGGCGTACGACTGAGTATGGACCAGTGGTGACAAGTTTGTGCCCTTTGCGGACACTGAGCTCGAATGTGAAAAATCGGCCGAGGGTGCGGAAACACCACCAGCGGAGTAATCCCCCCACGGCCATGAGTGCGGCGCCGGAAATAAGATGTGAGTTAATGGGCATGTCTTGAATCGTTCGAAGCAGACCGACTGTCTCTTGCATCCCACTGGGAAGAGTGGTGGGGTCTACCACGCGGGAGGCAATGACAGCGACTTCTGTGAAAGCGACAGCCCATGAAAGTGCCTGGAGCATCGTTCCATCAAAGAGGATCATGAACAATTAACGAACAGCTACCTTTGCGAGCGGGAGCCCGTATTTGGTATCTTGCATGAGAATCCACTCAATAGAGCTGTAGTGAACAATATCATAGCTGGTAGGGGTATTGGGAGGTGTGCCAGCTACGTGCAAGGCGAGAGGGGATGAGAGAATGAGTGGTATTTTGAGGAGGGATTCCATTTTCGTGAAGAAAGCTTCGCCTGGTCGACTGCTTTTATCCGTGAATGGATTGCGTCGTGTAGTCAAGGGTGGAGGCTGGGGTAGTCGATCCAGCACAATCCACGTGCAGACTGGGAATCGTGTGATTCAAAAGTACCTGTGGGTAGGATGTGCTCCTTTGAACAGAGACTGATGGAGTTAATTACCGACTAGCACCGTACTCTGAACACTCACTTTGCTTCCTACCATCATCAAACATATGGGATTAAGACCTATTTGTGTTTTCTGTTGTGTGTCTGTTTTGTTTTGGAAGAATAGACGACTGCTCTCCCATTGGTACACTTATACGAACATCTCGAAATCAGCACAATGAAATTGCGCGTCGGTGATGCATATAAGCCCGGCTGCCCGGGCGCATTGTTAGGGTACACCACGTATCCCGCCGGAATGCAGAACGATATATAAGCGGTGCGGCCACTTATCATTTGATTCCGGTTGAGTATGAAGGATAAAAGAACGGGAATATGCTTTCAGGCATAAAATATGGTATGGCGAATGAACTCACAGTGACCGGGAAGGTAAGGGAACGCGTGAAGGACACCTGAGGAGTGGTAAGCTTCTTTGGAAAAGATACAGGTTCCTACGTAGATTGTGCTCTGTCCTGCCTCGCTGGCAGGCAGATGAAGGGAAGAATTTCTCTCGCATATGCATCTCCAATCTCCTCTCGCACATCTGAGGCGTCAGATCCCGCATTGATAGTCCCGTTATTAGGTCTACTACTCCTGCTTCCATGACAGTGCTTTCATGATAGTAATCGTTGTGATGCTTAGTAGTCATTGTGGTGCCTGTACGAGTGTAGTGGTGTGCGGTCCTAGGCCCTCAGATCTCAGGAGTTGCTACTAGTCATCAGTAGCACTACGTGGTCAAGCAATCAAATTCGTTTACCAATACATGTGCGTTGTAAAGTCAACTCACGCTAACGCAACGCCAACGTGTCCAACTACACTAGTGACCAGCCCATCAACGATATTGCGGGTTTGCAGGAGCTTGGAAAACTCTGCCGCTGGGAATCTGGATGGCAGCGGCACAGGAGTTGACTATAGGGTCGACAGATAAGGGAGGATATCGGCGGTAGAGACAAGACCACCAATGCGAGATAGAACGAGTAGTATGTTTCTGCTTGATTCGTAGAAATGAAAATACATCGGATGACGGACAGAACTTCCCAGTCATGTATCGTAGCACTAGTGCCAGTGATGAAGGTGTGGTAGCGTCGAACTTGTCCAAGGATTCGAACTTGGTAGCCGTTGAAGGTGAGTAAGGTGTAACAGTAAAGCATCATAGGAGCGAGGTATACAAGCACTGATCGAAGAGACTGCTGTCGTTTGTCAAGTCGTTGAAACACTAAAAGTGTCCACCAGGAGGAGTGATGCGATTCCGAAAATAGAAACCATGTTACGATTGCAATGACGTTGGGTTGGACACCGCAAACCCTATGATCTCATGAAGTTATCCTCCAAATATTTGTTGTCCTAACATGCCTTCGTCGTCGTCGTCGTCGTCGTCATGGTGCTCGTCATCAAAAACAACGGTGTGCTGCGAACTACTTGAGCGACCGCCTCATCTCCATCTGCTTACGGCCTACAGCGTTCGAAACCTTGTTCTGCCCCTTCCTACGCAGTAATTATGTTGCTCGCTATTTTTTTTCACTCATTGGTTCCACCCTCGACAACACCTTTTTCATCACACCCCTCACCTACCGCCACTTCTTCAGTGTCATCCAATTTCCTATCACTTCCTTGCAAGATCCTCGTGGTCACTCCCGCACCTCGCTATTCTTACCTTCTCTCTTCCCATTATTTTCCGCTTGCCCTCGCCGTCTCTGGTGTATCTCGTTCCGTCCACGCAGTGCTTACTGGCCCTCGTGCGCGTCGTCGCACCGACGCTGGTGTTGCCATCCGTGAAGACTCCCTCATGGAAATTTGGGATGGTCTAGAGCAATGCTGGGAGGACTCCGAGTCTCTCCGCCGTGGAGTAGGCGGCATTAGCACTGTGGGCGGCGGCCTTCCATTGCGGTCAGCGTATCAAGATTTGCGTGAGACCCCCTCAATGACACGTTCCTAGGCAGCCAACACAGGCGCTACATCCCCAGCGCAGTCATCGTGAGAGAGTCAACGTTTCTAGACAATGCCATTAATGTTTATCCCCGCGATCCCCGGCCAGCACTAGTCTGCTTTCCGTCACAGTATCTCCACAGAAGGGTAGGCGTATTGTTAATCTAGTTTTTTCAGGATACGCCTCAGTCCCCTTAGCCCCTTCACGTTCACTTTTCCTACATTCTCCCTCCACCATATCGTTTGTCAATTGTAGTAGGCCCTCCCTCAGCCTTTTAAGTGCAGATTCAGTGTCGAACATCCTCGTCGTCCGAGTATGCACGAGTCTATTTCAGTGTCCCAGTGGGGTACCCCTGCAGCTTCCAGGCGGGCTCTACTCATTCATGGTGACATGTACTCTTCTGCCGGTGCCTACGTCTCCCGCAATATCGGCTCTGCCGGTGCCGCATCGTCGAACTCGAACTTCCAATTGTCTGATCTTTTGTGTATCTATCTACTTGTTCCAGTCATTTGTGGTTGTGTTTATTTTCACTGTACACACAGCTGGTTGCTCTTACACTGGCGAGAGAATTCAAATGAATTTATATAGGGAAAAACAGTGAACAGTGTGCTATAGTACTACACGTTGAAGTTCTGCATGGATAGGATGAGGCGCCTGCTAGCGCCGCCTCACGAAGCGCGCTCGTTCATTGAAGGAGACCGGCAGCCCAGTTGGGACTGTCCATTAGCGCTGGTTTTGGGCTCGAAGTGCAGACTTCCCAGTGGGCAAAGCAGCGGCAATGTTTTATGGGTGGAGGTGGCGCGGAAGAGTGGGCAATGGGCGGACTCTTTCTCTTACAGTAACACATCGGGGGTTTCAACATTTTGCCTCTTGCAGGATTTTAATCAGAAGCAGATCTAGACCTGGCTAAAGCATTCCAGACCTAGCCTAGAGCGTTCCAGAGCACCTTTCGAATGTAATTTCACTGGCGGCAAAATGTGGTAAAATGTCAGTTTCCCCGCTGTGTAAGCAGTCGTCCGCACGGCAAATCGTATTTGGTCAGGCTTGTTCGTTCGTCCATTTTTGTACCTTGTCACCCGTCACATGTCACATTGCTTATTATGATCGTCTACTTAGATTACAATCTATGCGGAAAACTCAAGTAGTACATCGTCAAGCTATTCACAGCAGCAGACGGATACATCGACATCCCTCATTCGAACTGTCTGTTGGGTTGTGGGCTCAGATTGCTCACTACTTCAGGTCAGTCAATGGTTCAGCCCTGCATATGGTTTTCGCTGTCCTGCACACTAGGTTATGCTCCGCAGGCTCATCGGAGCCAGATATCAATGGCAAACAGGTCAGCGGGTCATTTTTATATTACACCATTGCTCGCTTGACTTTATGCTATGTTCGAAGTGGTCTGGTAGAGGTCAAATAATACAACATGCTACACAGGATTCTACGGGCCTTTTTGGCACCTGCAAGACGGGCCCAGGTCTCCCCTCGCCGACCTTCGGACCACTAGTTACGGTGCCCGGGTCGGGTCGGTAAGTTCCTAGTTCGATGATCATGAATTGCTGGATTTTTTCGCCATGAAAGATGGTGCTCTCAATCCGCCTCATTTCTATATCTCGCAAGAGGAAATAGACAGTGCTCGCCGTGCTTGTGGACACCTTGCCCAAACAGTTAGCCAGCCAACAGCTGCTGGAAATACCGAGAACCGCTACCCACGGATGAAAGTCTGCTGCTGAACACATGTGCGACCAATCGGAGCCCATCCACCCCGTTGTTGATTGGTGTCATCATCAACACTGGATTCGTCGAGCCACAGAAAGCATTCCATTGGTATGTCTCCATATTGAGCCTGCCAAGTTGCCCGAACTATCTCATCCCTCTCTATAGCCTCCTTTGCTACCTGCTTGTGTGTGAGTGCAAGTCTCCGAAGTGCTCGTGGTATAGTTGCAATCAAAACATCAACATCACGAACATCTTTAAGGTGCTGTATCTCATCTAAATATAGACCCGGATTGGCTTCAAGTATGGAATAGATGTAGTTCATGTCGTCCAGTTCAAGACTACGAGGCCGTGCATTCTGACGAACGAATGGATTGGTGGTTTGACCAAAGTCGCGATGCAAGCGCAATATATCATAAATGGTCCGTTCGGAACAACCTGCTAGCTCGGCGATCTCTCGTGCATTCTTTCCCTGCTCATAGCGCCATACTATGATGTGTTCCCTGGACTGTGGGCGAGGTGGGGAGCCATGGTGTGACAGGTCACTGATCTGTTCCCCAAATGGACGAACAAGCCTGACCACACGTTTTGCTGTGCGGACGACTGCGGTTTTTTATGCAAAGCACTGTAACTAAATCCCATGGATGGAGTACGTGATCGCGGATTGTGCGAAACTGCGCTGACCCGAAAAGCTTAATGTTGACACTCCGACAGTTTACATTTTGAAACTCAGTATCACCACAACTTATAAGTTGGGCACGCCTCTTTGGTTCCAACTATATCATCCAGTCGAGTTATTACCATCGACCACCGTTTATTCACAAGATGAACTTGAAATCTATTGTCGTCCTCCTTACTGCTGTTGCCGCCCCTGCAGTTGCAGGTCCCCTTGGGTATGCCATCTGTCAGACAGGTGAGGTCAACGAGCATGCCATTGTGCACGGCTGACTCAAATTCTTGACCAGGATGCAATAGTCTCGCTGTCGCTTGTTATGGGGCTGCCGGATTTACAATGGGAGTGGCCCTCCCTGCAGTGCCTGCTGTTCTCGTTTCATGTAATGTAGGCCTGGGAACATGTATGGCGGCTTGTGCCGTAGTCGCGCTTTCACCCACTCTCTGAGCGAGTCTAAGCATGAATATGGCAAGAAGAACGCATGTCCCTCTTGGTGATGGACCAATGCCCGTCCCTTCCGTAAGTGTTCGTTCTTGTCTCGTGCATTGGCCTTTTCTCAGCCATGTTCTGCAATTTCGCAGTGTCATACATAATTGTTTTTCATGAACTGTGTATACTAGCCCATTGATATCCCACTTTTATTTTCCACAAGTGCCGTTCCTGTTCTCTGAAAAGAAAAGTGATCCCACCCCGATTGCTGCTTCATCGCATACCTCCTACACTGCACGAAGCTATTGTCGCGTTCGCCGCTCTGGTTCTCCTTCAGCACTTGAGGCGCCCTTCCTCGCTCACTTTTTCCGTATCAGATACAATCTAACACCATCTCCACCACAGCAACCTGCACATAGCGAAGAGATGACGAAGAGTGAGAGAAAGCAATATTAAACAAAAACTGAAGGTGCGAGAGGGAGAAGTGCCAAGGGAAGGAAGATATGTACTGCTCGGTGATGCCACCAACATCATTTACAGCTCTTTGCATAATGCGGTGTTTGAATTATTGTTGTTCGTATTTGGTTTGTGTGGCGGCACTGGGATGTAGACTCTTACACCAGTGATCGGCCGGTCAACCTTGACCTCTTGAACTTTTACTGGGTCAAGGCGTTGAACCAAAGGTTTAGAGTAGTCAAAGACGAGTCCAGAGGTCAACGCGTGACCTCGGATGTATTACCAAGGGCTTAGCTACATAATACTACAATAAATAATTCAAAAGTAATTCAGATATTGATAGAGGCCATTGCGAGTGGCGACTAGTCCAATTCACGCGTCCTCAGCAGTCCGGAATGCCAAACTCTTCAGAGGTCTGGTCCGAATGGCACAAGGGACCCAAGGTCAATAGTACTTACCATTCAGCATGGTGTATGAGCTGCATTCGTCCAGCAGCCAACCAGATCATGACCATTGAGGTCAATCACTTCAGTATTGGCAGCACACAACATCCACCGCGAGAAATTGACACTAGTATAATCAATGACCGTGAGTGAGCTGCAGCGAGAAAGCAAGCCGTTTGGATGCCGAGAAAGTTCAGAAGCAGACTCTTCTCAAACTCGACACAACTATAAACGCACATTTGACGAAATGGAAGAGAACTCAACCTCGACTGATACCATCCCAACCCCCGATGACGCACCCACATTCACTCCGATCGCGAACGAACTTATTCAGGACACCATGGATGAGAACTCAATAGTACCCGCCTCTGCAGCCCACAATCACTCCGCCGAGTTCAACACTCAGGCTCCACGTCATCCTTTGCTTCTCAAGAACCTCTTTAATTTTCCGTCGGCCACAACATCCACCTCCTTGACTGTCACCAAACTCTTGCATTTCTGGAAGTCATCTGAAGAAGGCTTTCACCAAGAGATTGTTTTTCACGATCATCTTTTCGAGTTAGAGAATTCTGCAGCTGATACTTAGTTCCATCTTTTTCTCGTATTTTACCATACAATTTCAATGTTCAACTTGCTAAGTCTACTTATCCGCAGTTACTTAATCTAATTCACATCACATGAAAGTCACGCATTGACTTTTACCAGTCAAGGTTTAATGTTCAATACCAGGTCAACCGCCTTGACTGAACCGTCCAGACGGGTCCGGCCGATCACTGCTGCCGATGGTTTGGAGTCTGCACAAAATTCAGAGTATATTTTCACTGAAATTTCAGTTAAAAAAAGGAACTTTCAGCACCTCCATTTCAGCATCTTATGCTGTGAATGTCAGGGCATTACAATCTGATTTCGCATACTGAATCTCACTGGATTCACTACCCACAGTGCAAGTGGGACTTGTACTATTTGCTATAGGTACTACTAGTAACATGAATCATTGACATGTTATCTATTTTTTGACGGACAAAACCCCCGGATATAATTGATTGATCGCTTTCAGTGTGCTTTGGTGTTTGATAGTAAATATACCTCAGGCTATTGAACACAGAAAACACTATTACAGCATCAAGTTAACAGTGACGTATATAGTAATCCACGACTATACAGCACATCGCAACATATGTATGTTTGTCCAACACAGGGCATCGCGGCAATGAACAATAAACGATGATTGGAAAACCAGCGTCTACAGGAGCGCAAAAAACATGGCAAAGAGGCGTGAGGAAACCCCAAGTTCAGAAAAGCAGTGAACGTTGACATGGATCCTTTGCGGGGGAGTCATGTCTCAGAGTCGTAAATCAAAGTTGGATGTTGTACGCAGAAGTAGGGGAGCTGAGAGTCAGAAAAATGATAGCCACCCGGGCAATACTTGTTTGATCCATTGGTAGCCTTGTGTGCTCTCTTCTTTGCGTTTCTTCCTCTCTTGCTCCTGAGTGTGTGCAGCAGCAGCAGCTCTCTCCCTTGCTGCCTTCGCCTCTGCTTCTTGGCGTCGGACTGTTTCTTGCTGGCGCCAGAGTGTTTCGTGCTGGCACGAGAGTTGTTCTTGCACAGCCTGGTCTCGTGCCTTCTGAGTCTGTTCAGCAAGTGCTTCGCGTTTCTTCCTCTCTTCCTCCTGACGCATTCGAACGAGTGAAGCAGCAGCTCTCTCCCTTGCTGCCTGCATCTCTGCCTCTCGACGTCGGACCGCTTCCTGCTGGCATCTAAGTTGTTCTTGCTCAGCCTGGTCGCGTGCCCTCTGATTCTGCTCAGCAAGGGCCCGAGCTGCGGCCTCCACAGCTCGCTGCCTTGCAGCAGCTCTACTCGATTCAGCCTCACGCCTCTTTACCTCCTCAATTGCGTTCCAGTTGAGCTTCCAGCGCTGCAGCTCTATCTGCCTCCATCTGCCTCCGGAAAGCATCGCCGAATCCTGAGTCACACTGAACATCATTGATAGACCTGAGGCTGGTTGCTTTGAGTTAGTAACCGCTTCGCTTTGCCTGGCTGATCCGGAATCGGTGGCACACTGCCTTGGGAGTATGAGATGGAGGAAGTTGTGGGGTTTGTCGACCTGGATGCTGAAGCAAAACAGGGAAGCGTCGGCGTGCACCTGCGCATTTGCAGCTGCCTTCTGTGCATGGGCTCTGGCCACCTTCGATATCCTTAGTTTTCTGTTGCAGGACATTTGCCCGCTGCCGTGCAACCTGGGCGTCAGCTATCGCATCTGTTTCCGCCTTAAGCTTGGCATCTAGCTCAGCCATGCGTAAGTCGTGCTCCAACTGCTCCTGTTCACGTTGTATCAAACGTTCCATCTCCTCCTCTTCTAGCTTCTGCTTCAGCTCGAGTTCGCGTTGTCGCTTCTCCTCCGCACATTCGGCTTCTTTAGTACAGTCAGGACAAGGGTCTGGCTTCAACTGACAACATTTCCACTTCAGCTTGTGGCGATTAGCAGTACATATGCTGGAGTACGGGTGTTGACAAGGCATTTGCGAATGATCCGAGATCTGATGACATTTTAGCGGGCAACGATGGATGCCGCAGTTCAGCATGGTGTCGCTGGAGACATTGTGAGTAGGAACAATGTTTATCGATTCTGAATTCTTACCATATCTCTGTGCATCCGCCATCTGGACAAAGAGTATCAAATTCAGACGCAGATTTCATGAGCACCGTTCGATCTGGGTGATGTTCACATTTGATCGGGAAACCTTTGTACATGTAGCCGCCTTGTTTGATGAGCTCGAAGAATTTTCCCCAGAGCTCCTTACCCCTCCGAGCATTCACAAAGGTCTGTGAGTTCCCGATCAGGATGAATCCATTTCGAGCCCGGGAGATGAGCACGTTCAGACGTTCAGGGGAGTTCATGAAACCGATGTCGTTGGACTCATTAGACCTTGTCAGACTAGCGATGACAATATCACTCTCTTCGCCCTGATAGTTGTCTGTTCAAACAACGTTAGATGCTAGCTATAACTCGAGTGGCAGAAACATACCTATAGTGGCAAGCCTGATGCACTTCTTGGACGTATTGTCAGTTGGGGACATAAGTCCAGCGCGGATGAGATTGTGTGAGTTGAGGTCATTGAGCACAGGGTCATTGTCCCTCTTCAGAACATCTCGAAGTGTTGAGAGCTGCCCAAGATACGGTGTGAAAACGACCAGCTTGTCCGTCCCATAGCCTTGCTGGGCGAGATAGTGTACGATCTTCCACACCATTTTGACTTCATAGGTGTTCTGTTTCGACGAGGCCCCATCGCCTGGGTCGGAAATACGAGGGTCGTTATCCTCGGGATGAGTGTGGTCAATGAAGAAGATGTTGTTCTGGATACCGCGAATGTCATCACGGCCCTGGGTCTTGGCAGCATTGGTGAGGTCGGGGTATGTGAGTTTCCTGATGAACGCTGAGATCTCCGGACGCATACGATGTTGGGCTGTCAGGGTTTGATGAGGGAAGCCCATAAGAACCAGGCGTTCAAAGAGTGATCTGTTGAGTTCAAAGCCGTCGCCCTTTTCAACAGCCAGCTTGTAGTTGTTGACTTTGGGACGTAATTGCCTGTGGAGAGTCAACTTCAGTGCGATGTCCCAAAAATTGCCAATGACTTGCGTACTTGTTGTCGCTGATGAGAATCATCTGGCTTGTATTCTCGCCCATGGCAGTAAGGACGTGACTTTCAAGAATCTTCACCAGCCTCCTCAACGAGAAGGATATCAGGTTTCGCCGCACGAATGTCTTTTGCCAACTTGGCTGCTCCAGTCGTCGTACATGCAATGATTCTCTTCCCCATGAGGGTCGCCACAGTGGCTTCCCCAAATTTGCATGTCAGTTGATCTTGGCACTCGTTGTAACTCTTGCGAATTTCCTCGAGGATTGAATTGCATATCTACGACCTCCATTTCTCCATCATGCTCTGGTGAGCGTCCACAGGAATCTTCCAGATATCAGCCGCCTCATGTACATTGAGCTCGTCTTTGAACTGCCCAGCGTTAGATCCTCCAGACCATCTAGAGATGAGTTCCTCCGAGGAGACTGCTTTGCCACCCTTGCCGACACGAAGTCATTCCTGAATCGTCATATTCAGGGACGTGGAATGCATCAAAGTATTTCGAGTCCTCCATCTCGACGTACGTGAGGACGTCCTTGAATGCCATCTTCGAGGCTATGAACCTGTCCATGGCGTCCTCTAGATTGTTGCAGTGAACACTCGACGCCCTCTTCAGCTTGTTGATGATAGCCCAATCAGCTTTGGATCAGATGAAACGCTCTTTATTCCCCGCAATGCCAAGATGGGCGACCTGCGCGTTTGCTCTGCTGCCAAGACGGATCATGTTAGTCTCCAGGATACCGATCTTCATGAGATCTTCTAGGAATTGATCCAGGGCATGGTTCATGTAGCAGACTACAAGAATCTTCTGTTCGGTGTGATTGTGGATAGCCTTTGCAAGCAGCGCGCCAATGAATGACTTCCCGGTTCCTGTGGCATGTCAGCAAAATGGATATGCATAGGCGGTCGATATTAACACTACCTGGAGGGCCCTGGATGAGGGAAAGCCTCTGCATGAGTCCTGCCAGAAGTGATGCCGCCTGAGACTTATCAAGCACGATACTAGATGAAGTCCCCAGGAGCCGCTGCAAATTCACAGAGGGATTTATAGCGAGTGGTCGCGTGACCTGAGTCGCAGTCACCGAAGCGCCGCCAATGAGGTTCCCGTCCTTCCAGAACAGGAGCTCCTCTGAAAGCGGAATGAACTGCGTGTTTTGCAGAGCCTTCAAGACTGGCTCAAAGGCAAAAATTGCAGTGTCGATCTGAATGAGCCGAATGGTATCCGATGACTGCAGCTGAAGGAGAGTCTTTGCGATGCTAGCCTCCCCTTCCAGCTGAAGCACAATAACAGGTGGCTTCTGCGCAAGCAGTGCCTCCACGCGGTGAACACTTGCGAGACTGATGATTTGATTTCCTGAAAGTACGCAAACAAGAGACTGATGTTTGAGAATTCTGACGCCCGTAGGATCCTTTTCGAGATAAGACTTGCGCTTCTTTTCGGAAAGATCCTTTATTGACTTGAAATCGTCTCGGCATTCTGGGCTGCTCGATTCATGAGAAACAAGCTACATGGTGTGGGTCGTGAGTACTTGAGTACTTGAGTGTTGAGAGCAAAATTGCAGGCGCTCGTGGTTAGGGCCTATATAGGGCCACACGGATGCCATGAACCTATACAGTAAGAGTAAGTAGCTAACATTACGTATGAGGCACCCAACTTGTAAGTATACCAGGCTGTCCGTGTTCTCTTATCTGTTTAGACCAAGTTTAGACTACAACTACTCGCCGGCTATAGCCAGTGACTGGGGCCACACGTAGACCAGACTGCCCAAGAAATGAACGATAGGTGAACCCCGCAAATCTAAGTAGTACTTACATGATCTACGTCTCCGAGTCGATGATATCTCAATTAGATTTAGATTTAACAGGTACTTACAGTGGTGAACCCGTCACAAGAGGATTCTCCTACAACGGCAATTGCCTTCGGAACTTGTGCTAGTAATGCACCAAACCCGCTCTACTCTGCTGGTCTGACCAGCTCCATCTCAATTGCGATGCGGTCTTATTATCCCCCGCAACCTCCACAAATCCAGCGTGGCCCAGCACCAACAAAACCATATGGTATGAGTTTTGGATCACATCAGAGTGTCTTGGCGATAAACTCCCGGGGTCGCATCAACTTCATTGATTTTGCTTTGGTAAGGTTGAGTCGTGTTGGGAACCAAATTCTGAAGCACTTGGAAAGGTGCCCTTGAACTGTTTGTGTCGAATCTTGAATAGCTCGACGATGAAGAATTGGATGATGGCACAAAAACCGTCTTGGATTGCAGGTAGCAGGTAAGTCTGGTTATTCCACCGCATCTCGATGGTGAATTCTTCTGGAGGGTCGACAGCCAGCGAGTCCTCCTACGATTCCTCCCATGTTAGCTGAGTCGATAAAGAGCAAAAAGTCGTAGAAACACTCGGTTTGAGGGACAAGTGTTCAAAGAGCTCGTGTTATGTCACCGCTGTAGTTATGTACACAGGTGGCATACGCTGTGAGCGGTGCGGTGCCTGGAGGCTTCGATGTCACTAGCAAAATGCGGCTGAGGTCCACATGGATGACATGAGATCCGCGTCGCTTGAAACATCGAAGATCTGGGCTACTAGTCACTTTACCCTTCTGTACCAACTTCTTGACTGACACGAGTGTCTTTGGTGAACTGTCCCGATTTATCGATCTGACAATGATGTGCATGAGCGAGCCCTCAGGAAGATATTCTAAAAAAATACCATAGCAGTTTATGACATCCTTCAATTGAACCATAACCGCACCCTAGACTGCGCAAATGAGCGACATCTTGGACCAGAGCCTTGAGCAGCCTCGGTCCTTCGACGGCGCTCGTGCTGCTTTCGAACATCGCAGAGGGATGATGAGAAGAGATCTGGAGGGCGAGCCATCAAAGGTGGAATTGATCCGCCTCATGGTCAAAATATCGGTGATAACCTTTCCGCATGTTGGGCAAGCTATGTGTTCAATATGCTGAGGTGGAGGGTACCGATGCCAAGTTTCAGTTGTTAACTGGTCAGGAGTGTCGGAGCATCAACTTGAATATGAGTTGGGACATCGACTTTGCATGAGCGGAGTGTAGTTTTGTTTCCCGGTGTGCTGATCAACACTATTTGTACTATCGATATTGCGGACTCCTGCATGTCGAGTCGTTGACATCAATGAGCAAGTTGATGCAATAATTGTCACGTGTCACATCTCTAGGCCTTGTTGCCATCAAGGGCCTGCCTTTTGAGACCGTCTGAGTACTCGAAGATCTAGCCCTTCTACGAGTAGAATTCTCTTACACCCACCACCTCGTAGGCAATCAATGGAACCCCAATACTGTGCACACGCTCCCTGTCATTGTCAAAGGCGCTCAGAAGCTCAATTCCGAGAGCATGAAGTATTATATGTGCACTTGCGTGCAGCGGTTCGGCATTCCATAGGAGCACTGGTTTGCGTCGCCCGAGAAGAGGGGAACAGTGGAATGTATTGCGGGCTGCATCCAATACTGTGGATGAATGGTATGCAAAGAGCAGCGGTCAATTTATATTTCGAATTCACTCAGTCTTTGGCGTTCGACAAGTAAATCTACCTCAGGATATTGAATACAGAACTTTGAAATACGTATACCACAGCATCTGCAAGAGCGCAAAAACATGGCAAAGAGATGTAAGAAAATGAGTTCGGAAGAATGCCAGCTAGCGTTGACTTCCAAACCAACTGGAAATTCTGCGGTGTAGTCATGTATGAACATGCTCAACATGGTCGTGTCTCGTTAATCAAACCTGGATGATGTGCGCAGAACTAGCACAGCTGGGAGTCGGAAATAAAATGATAGCCACCCGCACAATGGTACCCTGATGCTTGTTTGATCCATGCATAGCCTTGTATGCAGACGCCGAGGTTCCTCAACTTCTGCTGTATTCTCACTTCTTCGTGTTTCTTCCTCTCTTGCTCCTGATGCATTCGGACGAGTGTGGCAGCAGCTCTCTCCATTGCTGCCTGCATCTCTGCCTCTCGACGTTGAATCACTTCCTGCTGGCGCATGAGTTATTCTTGCTCAGCCTGGTCTCGTGCCCTCTGAATCTGCTCAGCAAGAGCCCGAGCTGCAGCCTCTGCAGCTCGCTGCATTGCAGCAGCACTACTCAATTCAGCCTCACGCCTCTTTACCTCCTCAATTGCTTTCCTTTGAGCCTCCAGCGCTGCAGCTTTATCTGCCTCCAATCGCCTCCAGATAGCATCGGCGATTCCTGGGTCACGCTGAACACCATTGGCAGACCGAGGCTGGGTGTTTTGAGTTGGTAACTGCTTCGCTTTCCCTTGCTGATCTGGAGTCAGGTGGGGCACTGCTTTGGGATCCTGAAATAGAGGGAGGAGGCAGACTTCCAGAACTGGACGGTGCAGGCGACCCCTGTTGGAAATTTTTGGGCGGCTTCGGGCAACGAGGAGTGGATTTCGGAGTGATCTTTGCAGCGGACAACGGAGCAGACGGCGGCAGCGGCGGGTTTTTTTTGCTGGATGATGCACTACCTTGTGAAGGTGGCTTATTAGGTGGGTGGGATCTGCTGGGTGTAGAGGGACGGCCCTGATGGCGGAGGAGGCTTCGGCGGCGCCCGCTTGGATGAAGAGCTGTTCTGAGAAGGTGGCTTAGGTGGCTGGGATTTATTGGTTGCGGAAGAAGACCCTGATTGGGAAGGGGGTGGAGGAGGAGCGGAATTGCTGGAAGATGCCATCGGTGGTATACTTGATGGGGGTGAAGTGGCTATGCGTGGAATATTGAGCTGCTGGCGTTGCTGATTGAGCAGATCCTTCATGACGGCTATTGCCTCATCTGCGGTGAGCGACAGGTGCACTTCCAGGAGTATTTGCCAAAGCATTGAATGCAGTGATGGGTGAGCCTCTGGGCAATGGTCTTGACATCTCAGGACGTTCCCCCAGTTGGACAAGCGTGACATTCGGTCGATGATATCTCCATCTCGGAGTAAGCAGAAGAAGAGGTGTCGGCTAGCTCGGACAGGATGATCTGCGTCTTCTGTAATTCCTTGTCGAGTACTTGAAGACACTTAGCCGCCGTCATGTTGGTCAGAGTGATTTCCTCCGAGAAACGACTGGCGAAGGCCAGGATTGACGCTCAACAGAGCAGTTCATTTCTTTCTCGTAGCCTGCAAAAACGATGACCATCTTGTTCATGAACTTCTCGTTGGTCATGAGGCCGACGACCTCATCAATGGCTTCTTGCGCAAAGTGCCCGTTACTAAGCTGGTATGCTTCGTCCACTGAAAAGCACTTTTCCCAGGGCCTTCTCGAAAAGTTTCTTCGTCTTTGGACCGGTGTGACCTACGTACTGCCCCACAAGGTCGGAGGCTGAGCACTCGATCAGGTCGGATGAAGAAAGGAATCCCATGTCATAATACACTTGACCAAACTTCCTCGCAATGGTCAGTTTTCCCAGTGCCTACAGATAAGTGGATCCCTTCATGAATATTCCGCTCCGGATCAGAAATCGCTATATACCTGGAGGTCCTTTGAAAATGAAACTCGTTGGGATTTGTTTGCTGCATATCCACACCAGAGGACTTCATCGCACGAGCAATTTTCTGATAGTCGCCTAGTTTTTTCACGATGTCGTCGCAACCAACAAGATCCTCGAAGAGTTTCGTGAGATTAGCTGCAGCGTTGCGATCACATTCCCAATCCGGGTCAAAATCCTCAGGCTCGAAGATCACGTCGGAACGTTGATCAGGAGGCACTGACGCTTGACGCTTTTGGTAGCGGGCTTTAGCCAGACCGAGCATGTTCTCTACCTCGCCGGCATTTCCAAAGTTAGGACGGTTCTTCGCTCTGTTCAGAAGATCGCTGGCAACCTGTTTCGCTGAGTCTGTGGCTCCGAGGTCCTGATCCTTCAGCTTGAAGTCCAAGATCTCCCGAAGTTGGGACTCAGTGAAGTCCTCGAAGGTGAATGCGTTTTCAATGGCAAATCTGCGAGCGAGCCCGGGGTTCACGTTCTGAGTAGACATATCAGAGTTTGCTTGGTAATTCGAGTGAATATTCGAGCGTACCTGGAACATCTCTTCCATCTGTTCTTTGTATCCCAATAGCAAAACACAGCGATATTCTCCGGGTACGCTTTGAATCTCCGCGACCAAGGTATCAATTACGGTCGTTTTAAACGAGTCCTGGTGTCCAGAGTTTTTGCTGTACAGCATGTACGCCTGACAAATAAGGTCAATATTATTACTGGCTAATAAGTCTGGGATTGCGTACCTCATCTATAACTAGAACTTTACCAACGGTACTGTCCAAGATAGCTTTGGTGCTCTTCTCCGTATGGCCAAGGTACGCGCCCACAAAATCAGACGGATTCTTGACCACGACTGACGAAATTTCAGCAGTCAATGGGCAGCCAACAACACAAGCATGAATTATCACCTTCGCCGTTGCTCAAAAGCCCTAGTTCTGTGAGTATCTGTCCGTAGAGTTTCGCAACTGTCGTTTTGCCGGTTCCCGGTGAGCCAAGAAAGACGCGGTTCAGAGACATCGCAAGGGGCTCTTTCTCTTGAAGCTCTCGATGATAGTTCGTGTCGACGATGTCGAAGAAATTACGGACAGAGTCTTGTCTTTCACGGAATCGAGACCTATCATTTTCTGTAGCTTCTCCCAAGGAGCGCATTGCGGAAGGACCTGGGATGGGTCAGGACCGATGAAGTCCTCTTTGAAGATAAAAAAATCGTCAGTGGGCCATCCCTGTTTACGTTCGTTCTGAAGTCGTTCAGCTAGTCTCTGGGCGACCCTGGAAAACATGTTCTGTAATGCCCGAGCATTTCCGAAGCCCTCGCGACCGCGACCGCGTCCAAGTCGACGCACTGCAATTCGAGCATATAAGCCCCTGATGCCGTCTTCCACCTTCATCTGGCCTGAATATTGTTTCTCCACAAGCGCTTCCAGCATCGTCAGAAGCTCCACGTCAGTATAGTCTGCGAACTTGAGGGAGTACGGAACACGACTCGGAAGGCCAGGGTTGTGTTCGAAGAACTTCTCCATCTGCTTGCTGTATCCCGCGAGAATGAAGACCAGAGTACCCACTTGGTTCTCCATCTCGGCGAGAAGAAAGTCCAACACCTGACCTCCTGTGTGCTGGTGTTCGCTAACAAGTTGGTATGCTTCGTCGATGAAGATAGCGCCTCCTCCCACCATCATGGCATCTGCGATGAGCTTTTTGGCTCCAGCTACCCCGTCATGTGCCAAGCTTGCACCCGTCGTTTCAAGGAAGGCATCGCCTGGGAGAACTTGAACTGATTCGAGAAATGGCGCATACAACCTTGCGACTGTGGTTTTTCCTGGAGGAATGTGAGCGATCCGGACGCTAAAACATCGAAGAGTACTCACCAGTTCCTGGGTTACTGAGCAAAACAAGATTGAGGCGCTCCTTGTTCACGGGGACGCCTTGTCATTTCATCAAGTCAATATGGCCCTTGATACGGAGTACTTGTGCTTTCACTTCCTCAAGCCCTGTCAACTCCATGATACCGTCGATGGCGCTATTTTTTTCGCCATTGACTTGCTTCTGGTACAACCAATCCTGGTGGGCAGGCGACGTGGGTGCTGCATTGTTCGATGACGTCGAGGAAGGTCCACTTTGTTGAGACTTCGATTGCTGGGAATTCGTCTGTGAAGTCGAAGATTTTGTGCTTGGCTGCGGACTCGGCGATGACGACGGAGGAGTAGGATTTGGCGGAGGAACGTTTGACTGCGGATTGGATGGAGGTGCGGAAGGTGCGGAAGGTGTGGGGTGTGTCCTGGATGACAAGGCAGAATGGGCAGCGTTGGCGTGTGCCTGTGCATTTACAGCCGCCTTCTGTGCGTTGGCTCTAGCTGCCTCGATATCCTTGATTTTCTGTTGGTAGACATTGGCTCGCTGCTGCGCAACCTGGGCGTCAGCTATCGCATCCATTTCCGCCTTGAACTTGGCATCCAGCTCAGCCATGCGTAAGTCGTGCTCCAACTGCTCCTGTTCACGTTGTATCAGACGTTGCAGTTCCTCCTCCGCTAGTTTCTGCTTCAGCTCGAGTTCGCGTTTTCGCTTCTCCTCTGCACGTTTGGCTTCTTTGGTACAGTCAGGACAAGGATCCGGCTTCGACTGAAAACATTTCCACTTCAGCTTGTGGCGATCGGCATCACACATGCCGGAATACGGGTGTTGACAAGGCATTTGCGAATGGTCCGAGATCTGATGGCATTTTAGCGGGCAAGGATGGATGCCGCAGCTCAACATCATGTCGCTAGAGACAGTGTGAGTAGGAACGACATTAACTGATTTTGAAATTCTCACCATATCTCTGTGCATCCACCATCGGGACAAACAGTATCAAATTCAGATGCAGATTTGATGAGGACCTTTCGGTTTGGGTGCCGTTCGCATTTGATCGGGAAGCCTTCGTACAGGTAGCCGCCTTGTTTGACGAGCTCGAAGAACTTTCCCCAGAGCTCCTTACCCCTCCGAGCATTCACAAAGGTCTGCGAGTTCCCGATCAGGATGAATCCATTTCAAGCCCAGGAGATGAGCACGTTCAGACGTTCAGGGGAGTTCATGAAACCGATGTCGTTGGACTCATTAGACCTTGTCAGACTAGCGATGACAATATCACTCTCTTCGCCCTGATAGTTGTCTGTTCAAACAACGTTAGATGCTAGCTATAACTCGAGTGGCAGAAACATACCTATGGTGGCAAGCCTGATGCGCCTCTTGGACGTATTGTCAGCTGCGGACATAAGTCCAGCGCGGATGAGATCGTGCTAGTCGAGGTCATTGTGTTACAGCTGTGTTTACTTACTTCTTTTTCCCTTGATCCACGCTTACTACACATGTCTCTTATCATGCTATATTTAGTTCAGTATTACTCAGACGCCTCATTGCTTACGCATGTGCTTGAGCCCCTTCAGTGAATTCACCCGTCTCAGACGGGCAGCCGGGCGTGACAATGTACCAATAGAGACGGGCCACCCGGTGCCGGCCCATGGCAATAATTGTACCGTGTTAGACGAGTGGGCCGAGGGGGTGGAGTGTCCAAGGCAAACGGATGGGCTGGGTGTATATAGTATAGATGGTAGTATAGCAATGTACTATATAGGAAATTATGAATAGTAGTAGTGAATCCAGTGTGTGATAGATGAGTGGGCCAGAGGAATGGAGTGCAATATAGACGAGTGGGCCGGGGAACTGGGGTGTGATGGAGACGAGTGGGCCGGTAAATGAGGTGCAATGGAGACGAGTGGGCCGGTACATAAGGTGCAATGAAGACGAGGGGGCCGGAGAATAGGGTGCAATTGAGACGAGTGGGCCGGTATAGCAGGTGCAATGGAGACGGGTGGGCCGGTATAGCAGGTGCAATGGAGATGGGTGGGCTGGTAAATATGGTGCAATTAAGACGAGTGGGCCGGTATAGCAGGTGCAATGGAGACGGGTGGGCCGGTATAGCAGGTGCAATGGAGACGGGTGGGCTGGTAAAGGAGGTGCAATGAGGACGAGTCGGCCGGTGTTATTGGGTGCAATGAAGACGAGTCGGCCGGTGATATGGGGTGCAATGAAGACGAGCGGGCCGGTGATATGGGGTGCAATGAAGACAGGTGGGCCGGCATTATAGGGCGCAATGGAGATGG